ATCATATTAAGGATATATGGAATTCTCTGATGCATTTACAAATATTGAAAAATAGGTCTGACACATTTCTGAAAGTAATTACCTTTCCCGTAAAACTTTGCTGCAATTTTTTGATAGGTCCTCTCTGTAGCGAAGTGACCACCAGTGGTTGGGTTGTCATGACAGGCCTCCAGTACTCACTTAAGTCTTTGCTGTGGCAACACTTCCTTAGCGTGGTGGAACAAGGTTCCATTCTGTGCAGTGTAACTTGTGCAGGGCAACTTGTCTGAACTTGGACTTGGCATTAGTACGAAGAGACAGGTCTCAAGACGTGGTCATAAACTTGATCATCCATAATTCAAAGTGGATAAAATCTGTACCTTTGCATTTATATATATACATGTGTATAACCTATTCAAATGAGTCACATTCTCATCTCACATGTGAGATTTCTTTAATTATGATTACTGTTTGGAAAAACTGGTGCTCCCACCTTTGTCTTCTCAATTTAAATAACAGGCTATGTTTGTTTTAAAACTAATTAGATGTATACTAAAAAGGCATTTATGTTAACTTAATCAGGTGACAATGTTGTTACAGCAATTGACCAGGAGAGATCAAGACTGAGTTAGATGCATCCCCCAAAAGAAAACTTCATGTACAATCATGTACATTTATCATCTAACATGTGAGATTTCTTTAATTATAATGTATACTGTTTGGAAAAACTGGTGCTCCCACCTTTGTCTTCTCAATATAAATGAACAGGAAGTGCATGTTTTAAAACTAATTAGATGTGTACTGAAAAGGCATTTATGTAAACTTAATCAGGTGACAATGTTGTTACAGCAATTGACCAGGAGAGATCAAGACTGCCCTCCATAATCAAGAATCCAAAAAACACCAAAAAAAATACTAATACTTACCGACTCCCTAAGTGGACTGCAAGCCCTCCAAAACAAAAATACCAAAAAACGACCTAAATTAATAAATCAAATACTTAAAAGCTCCAACGACCTAACTAAGGCAGGCAAACAAATAACCTTCTTGTGGATACCCGCCCACGTAAGAATATATGGTAATGAAAACGCCGATAAGGCACTTAAACTATTCCTTAAAATCCCAGACATAAGCTTAAACTTACCCATCTCAAAATCAGAAATTAAAAGTGTAAACAAGCAAAAAATCACCAAAAAATGGCAAACCTATATCTAAACTCAAATAGCCAAATCAAAAAAATACTCAGCAAACCACTAACCAAACCAAAAATTCTCCATCAATCAAAAAAAATCGACAGAGTAATCACTAAACTCCAAACAGGACACACCAACCCAAATAACCACCTAAAAAAAAATAAAAAAACACACTACAGGTAACTGCCCACACTGCAAAACTAGAAACCCCAGAACATGCACTCATCCACTGCACACACTACCTAACACATCAAACCGCATTACAAACCACCCTCAATCTAAACAAGGCTCTCACTCTAGAAGCAGTACTAAACCCACAAAATAAACTAGAAAACTTCAAGGCCTTAGGCGTATTCTTTATCAAAACGGAACTAATAAAACGCATCTAAAAACACAATAATCTACCAAATCAAAATCACATAAACAAACAAACATCCACCATACCCAGCTCCCTTAGTTCTCCTCCCAAACCCCATCGGCATCTATTCCAAATCTCAAAATTCCCAAATTCTATTTAAGCAACCCCTAAAGCCCCCTCTTGGGTTGCACACACCACTTTCGCCCCTTTCGGAAACACATTAAATGGCCTGGCCAGGCCCGTGTGCGAAATACGCATCAGTCGGAAAGCGCATGTTAAATCTCCAAAGTAAGTAAGTAAGTAAGGGCTGCAGTAGATTCTTGGAGCTCCTAGATTATAGTTATAACCAGGGGTAGATTCTGGGAGCTCCCAGGTTATACCTCGGGGTAAGATTCTGGGAGCTCCCAGATTATACCCCGGGGTAGATTCTTGGAACTTCCAGAGTATACCCCCGGGGGTAGATTCTGGCAAAGGGGGGTAGATTCTGGGAGCTCCCAAAATCTACCCCGGGGTAGATTCTGGAAGGCCCCAGAATCTACCCGGGTATACTTTGAAAGGGGGGTATACTTTCAGACTTTACACTGGGACTTGGACCAGCGGTCAACATCCCACTTGTGGCACTTAGAACATCGCTTGTCTTGACTGCAACAGTGAGTGAGTGAGTGAGTGAGTGAGTGAGTGTGAGTGAGTGAGTGAGTGAGTGAGTGAGTGAGTGAGTGAGTGAGTGAGTGAGTGAGTGAGTGAGTGAGTGAGTGAGTGAGTGAGTGAGTGAGTGAGTGAGTGAGTGAGTGAGTGAGTGAGTTGGGTTTTATGCCGCTTTTAACAGTATTCAGGTTATATCATGGCGTGTCAGCTTAATGTGGGCGGAAAGCCCCAAGTGATGCAGGTCTCAGACGTTTACCACTTCGGTGAAACCCATGAGCACGGGTATGGTGCTGACAAACCTAGAAACATAATCGAGGCTAACCGGGATTCGAACCCACAATCATAGGTTTCTGGCGTGCCCAAGGGACGCAACTCTGCACAGTGAATTGCGGCGCCTCAGACGACTGGGCAACCTGTGCCCCCAGCAGTGGAATAAGTATGGTGACAATGTAAAATGTATTCTCTACAACTCAATACACGTCTCCACAGGGTAGGGATAGGAAAGAGAATGATGTCGCAGGGGTAGTCAGGTGATCATATCGTGTAAGGATGCAACCCACGTGATTACAGTGTGTGACCCATTTGTTGGGGTGGTGACCAGTGTGTTCATGGGATTTGTTCATGCAAAATGCTTTTAGCAGCTGGAAACTTTGTTTTAGGACGTTTCCACATAAGGATAAAAAGAAGAAGGAAGAAATGCATAGTGTGAGATAGGATAAGTTTACAAATTCATAGAATATGAGTCTGACTGCTCACTACACATACACCACCTTTCTTTTGAAAAGAAATGGCTGAGTAATGGCCACAAAAAGATTGAAAATCTTCAAGAAACTCTTGAACAAATTTAGGTGTGATCAATGGGTGTAACAAGCATGTGACTTTCAGTCAATTGAGCTAATAATAAGAGGTACCTCAGGAATTTATAAAGGTGTTACTCAAAGCTGGCTTCTGTCTGTAGTAAGTAGGACGTTGGAAATAGTGTAAAACAGATGATAATAAACCACAGGCGAAATTGTTCGACAAACCAAATATCCGCCACTGTGGGGGTTCCACTTACTGGGGTTAAAAGAGGTTCATTGTATTTGATGGGCTGCACAATTTCCAAGAATGGTAAGGTGCCAAGTCCGCCCAAGGGGAACAGGCGGTTTATTGGGGGTCTTACACCTATTGTTATTGGTACACATTCACCCAAGTGTGGTGATAGTCGGGTGGGCATATCATGTGTGAGAGAGGATAAGTATATAAAGATACAATTAATACTTAAAATTCCAAATTTTGAAACTGATCCTATCCCATACATTTATCTCACGGTTGATACCCTAGCCTGTATAGACTACAGCCATGAGAGTACACGAGGAAGCTGGTGAACTAATGATGAGTGGAAAAGAACACTGGATTGAACAAAGTTGGCGATCCTGATACATTACTCGATCAAAACAGCATGAGATTGGAAATATAAGCCAAACATGTTTCACATATGTCGTCATTCAAAAAATGACTGCATAGCTGTAAACAGTTAAATGCAACAGCTGACAACTTAAATGAACTCTGGATTTTCTACCGGTATCGATTCTTCAAACATGTCGCAGTGCTATATCCATGGGAGAATAGATCCAACTTGTTCGTCATTTCTTTTAACGTTACATCAAGGTTATCAAACACATTCGAGTATATGAGCTGAGCCAAGAAATGAAGAGGATCGATCAACAATATCTGTAACCCTACATCACATACTTGATCCCCTTCACTCTGGGAAGCGTTGAACATGGAAGCAATGTGAACGTTCGTATTTAAAGGAACGTTGAGAGCATTGGTCCAATCCTGATTTCTGATCCTTAGAGCAAGAGCGTTGATCCCATTCCTTAGACCCCGGTCATCAATCCCATATGGCTTCGCGAGCGTCCTTGGGAGCATTCAAATCATCGTTCTTCCAATGATCGAGCAAGCATGAAGATTCTAGGAACAGGATATTGAAAGCAGGAGTGTTAGGGGCGTTCGTCGAAGTCGATGACGGAGAAGATTCAGGAACGGTAAGGAGCATGGACCGAACATCTTGGAGAGGACACTGGTGAGCTGTGAGATTGAATTGATGACACGACTTTTGTTTTCTTCGACGATGATGTCCTTGAATCTTTTGATATAAATTTACGATCTAGCATCCGTCTATGCCATCTCCGGAAAGCAGAATCATCTAAAGAATGACATTCAGCACATCTAAAGTACATTGGCCACAGCAATAACAACAAGTAGTTCCAATGGAGAATAGGTATGTCAACATTTATCATAGGCTGGACTAAGTTTATCCTTCTTCCCCATGTTGAAACTCTCTCCAACCGCAATAAGTTTCACAAACAACAAAAACAATTTTCTTGGTGCAAGCAATATGTCCAATATGAGAAAGAGTTGACAGAGTTGATAGAGAGACATGTGGTCAAACATGGAAGGTTACAGTACAACAGAGGCATGTAATTCACCAAGTTGAGGTCGTAACCATGGAGTTGTCAGGGGTGTTCGGGAGAATGTTTTTTTATTTAGAAACTTGAAACAGGATTCAAGCACATTTTCCACATAGGATCGAAGAAAAAAGAAGATATGCATAGTGTGAGATAGGATAAGTTCAAAAGTTTAATATTTAAAACAAAATTGCAATCTATTTTTCAGTTTACTTGCCCTATAAGAAGTATCATGAAATACTAGACATATATGTGCACATAATATTTATACTGATACCAACGCTGAAATTAAACGACAGGGAGTTTTATCTTTGTACAAATCAAGTACAGTGACTTTTGACTCAGCCCCAAATAATCTGTTTTTATACACACCTGTCATCTGCAGCATACTTTGTTTTAAGGATGTCCATGATTTCCAGGAAGTTCCCATTCTTCATGAGTTCTGTTTTGGTACGACCATAACCTTTATCCCCGTTGATGATTCCATCCAGGAAGTTGTAGAGAGACCGGAGACCATGCAGTTGCAGCAGTTCATAACCATGGTAGAGGCTGAGAGCCAGGGCAAAGTCACCCTCAACCACACCATACTGATGGCTCTGACGATCAACACAAGAAATAGCATTCATAATCACTTTAACAGCAAAATCAGAAAAAGGGAAATGACAGCGATTCCACAAGTTGAAACAGCAGTTAGCAAATTAATTCAACATAGACCAGAGAATATTCATTCTGAAGGTTTGCAATTCAACATAGACCAGAGAATATTCATTCTGAAGGTTTGCAATTCAACATAGACCAGAGAATATTCATTCTGAAGGTTTGCAATTCAACATAGACCAGAGAATATTCATTCTGAAGGTTTGCAATTCAACATAGACCAGAGAATATTCATTCTGAAGGTTTGCAATTCAACATAGACCAGAGAATATTCATTCTGAAGGTTTGCAATTCAACATAACTCCAAGACACACAGTCAACATAAGCAGGATAAAAGGTGCATGACACTTGCTCCCTTGGCTCCTTTTAGGATGAATTGAAAATAAGTAAGCTTATGATGAGATGTTGATCAATGAAAGAAGCATATTTGTACATACAGGCATACTTGGAGGAGGGTTTTGTCGGAATGCCTCCCTTGCTTTCAGTATAAAGAACTTGGAGAGACTTGTCACCTCCCGCTGGCTGTAGAGAACTTGCTGATGGGTCAAACGCTTGACCACTACACTCATCACCTGACAGTGGAGATAATGTGTAGGGTTTGTCAAGGCTTATTAGAATGTTTAGAATGTAAGAATTAAGCAGAGAAAAATTATATATATATTCCAAGAGTGTTCCACCCACCTGTATGTACTTCTTCTGTATCATTAAAAGTTCTTCCCCAAGTGCTACCACAATCTTCTCCACCTTCCTCTCATGAGTGTAAGGCTTGATGTCAATACACTGTTCCGTCCTCAGTTCAATGTGTGACAGGAGCAGGTTTGTGATGACTTGCTGCACAGCCTGCAACAGTACATCCCAGCCAGACCATGTACAACATCTTCAACACATGTACAATCCATATGGCCCATAAAGTACAATATATTTTCATGAAAAAAAATGATTTACTAGTGTACACGACATACTAAGAATTATTTCTTTATGAATAAATATTGGGAAGAAATTCTTTTGTGTATGGATTCACACTACATGTGTAAAAAAATGTGAGAATGTATAAAAGCCAAATGAATAAAGTGCAGTGGACAGAACTTAAAGCTCTGCAGTCAGCAATACTCCAGCTATGTGATGGCAGCCTGATTGATATGGTGAACAATGATCCATGTTGTCAGGGTATGATGACACCCAATCAACCAGGTCACCAAGCCTGACCACCGATTCAGTAAGTCACAATGTATGACTAACTGGGGACAAAATCTAATCCAAGCAAGATGTACCTAATACTAATGGCACATGGCTTCCTGACCTTGAGATCACTTCCAGGGGTAGCACTGAGAGCTACAACCCGAAATTCCCTTGTATATTTCACCAATTCCCTCACAACCTGTAAAGAAGAAATACATGGTAACATCCAAATGTGGCACAGTACATCATCTATAACAATAATACAAAATAAATTGCATCAGGAGCAATAAACAAAAACAACTAAACAGATAAGACCTAAAAAAAGTTGGAAACAACCAAACAAATGAATTGTTGAAAACCAAACATCATGTCATGATGTCTGGATGCAACACAAGATTTTTAGGCATACATTTACTTCAGTGGCCAGGCTGCTGGGAGTGAGGGGACGGCAACTCAGGTGTATCATTGATATCACTCTCCCCTTCTGGACTGACTCCATTGTTTGAGTCATCTCTCTAATAATAGATTCACTAGCATAATCTTAACCCGTTTTACACATTTCTCAATTTTCACATGTCATCAACAGTCATGTGAGAACACTTAAGTTACATGCTGCCAATGTGTATTCAGTAAGTAGCTTGCACTATTGATGTAAGGTGTGCTTCATAATTGGGCTTGAGTGGATATTGGCAGTTGTTAGAAAGCATCCTGCCTTTGATGTAATTGCATCAGTCGCAGTGAGGTGAGTCAGTTGTGTGTGAAGTGTGTTGAAAGTTGAAAGTTTCATGAGTGTGGACATTATTTTGTATTCTGAATTGTTCAAGTCATCATGGGAATTTTATGCTTAATTTGGATGCTTGGTACTCCCAAATGAGTTTGAGACAACCAGGAATTCAACACATCCACAGACTCAGGTATAAATGATAATAAATATAGAAGAAATTCGCAAGAACTTGAAGGTGAGTTTGAGACAAACAGAATTCGACACCTCCAAGTTTTACACAACATGGTTTGACTATACTTGACATTTACTATGAGCGTGGATATATGAAGCTGACAAACCAAGAATCATAACCAGGGTAAATCTGGGACTCAAGTCTATGGTCACAGTATTCTGGCACTCCTAAGGAATGCAACTCTATACATATAATCATGGCACATCAATCACTCGGCCACCCATGCCCCCTCAACCAGATAGTATAAGTGGTAGCAGGATCACGAGGGGTACATGGGGTCTTATGCATCCCGAGTTAGGTTTTATGCCAAGAGCCGGAGGTACCCCGAGTGATCCTGCAACAACTAATTTATCTTACCCACATGTTTTAATGTGACATTGTAAAAGAATTAACACAAATTCGAAATTGACAGAAAACTGTTTGAGCCGATGTTAACTTGTGCTATGTCACATGTCTTCCATTGACTCGGGAAAATCGAGTGGCTTTTTGCTTTGAAGCATGGTATAAGAGATTTATTCTGCCTCTCAGAAATACATGTGCAGCCTTCATTGCTTGTGGTATAAGGGTATAAGGGTATAAGAAATCTTTTGCCCTCCAAGGCGGGTTACACAGCATTTTATCAAGATCACATGGGACAATCTCAACTTGTCATTCTGACATGGAGGTATGATAAACCCATTTATTGATACCCATAACATCTGTGCAAACTGAGTTAAATGTATGAGTTCTCCGTTGTTCTGCAGATGGCATGGTTCATATAGGGAGTGAGTTGCTATTTGCCATTTCCGAATGTTCTTTTGTTCTTTTTTAGAACGTTTAATTGAGAATTTGTCAAAATATGTTTTCAAAGCATAGTCGCAAGTTTGAAACTAGTGTCAGAAAGCACAAGAGAGATGCTTTCTGATTGGCTAATGTCGACTTCTTGTCAGTCATCTCATTGGTCGGTCAAAGTTCGCGAAAGGTCGGTCTGACATGACCCGTAATGGGATATCCTCAGATCTTTGTTTAGAGGTAGAGAGAACTATGATCTGAATTTAATGAGATTGACACCACATTACAATTCATGTCACACATTGTAACTACTGTACATTGTAAAGCAAGTGTGAAGAGTATTTGTGCAGTTTCCCAAGTAATACAATATAGCTGATCTACACAATATATAGACCATCATACTACCTGACAATAAGCATGGTTTCCAAGTGCCTTGTGCGCCTCATCAATGACTAGACACTTAACAGTGTCAGCGGGGCAGGTGCCCCGACTCAGGTCATTGGTTATGACTTGAGGGGTGAGAAAGAACACACGTTTCTCCTTCCATGTCCTCCGCCTCTCTGCTGGGTTCATGTTGCCTGGGTCAAAAAGGGTAATATTATACTTAAGAATTTAAAAAGCTGCAATCAATTATTACAAGCACAGGTTATTAAGGAATGAAATTATATATTATCTGTGTCCGAGTCACTTACACAAGGAGTTGGGAAACAGTAAACATACATCAGCTCCACTGATAAGCAGTCAATATTTAAACAAAACAACAAGCAAAAATATAACATGTACAGTGTATAACTACCTGTCATCTCAGCAGTGTCCTCTGGGGGTATGCCCATAATGTTATAACAGGCATGGATCTGTTGAGCTACCAGGGGCTTGGTTGGGGCCATGAATACTATCTTGCACTGTGGGTACCATCGGTAATAGTTGTACATGACAACAGCAGCTATGAAAGTTTTCCCCAGGCCTGTCGGCAAGGTGACCAGAGTATTGTTGTACAGACACTGCTGGACAATGTTGAACTGGTAGTCTCGGACTTGGTAGTTGGTTGGGTAGATCCACAATTGGCCGGCTTGCTTGTCAAACCCTGGCAGATCTGGTATGTGTGACAGTGAGACAGAGCTGGGTGGAACATGGACATCAATTTTCTCTGTTCCAACAGACAAGTTTCCCTCTTCAACTGATTCATTGTTGCCCTGCACTGCTGTAGCCTTGTGACATGTGTTGAACAATCTGGATGATGATGATGATGATGATGATGATCTGATTGAAGTATTGGCCTTTGAGAAAGGAACGCTACTCTGTGGATACTTGCTTGAAATATTGGGTTTGTCACCATGTTCACCGCAGGTAAAACCATTTATGTTTGCAGTCTGTATGCTTTCATCCAAAGCCTGAATAAGCAGGGCATCATCTTCATCAAGGTCCTCATCACACAGGTCAATCACATCACCATGACCACCAACACTTGAAGTGTGCAAGGAGGCTTTTGTATTTGATGCCTGCTTTTGAGAAGATTGTCTGTTACCATGGTTACCCCAGCTTTGAAAAAGGGTTTTCTGCTTGCTGTTCATTGTTTAATATGCTAACTGATATGTCCATCTTGAATATATGTCAAGAATTTTCCGCAAACAACACTAACACAGGTGGTAATAGTGTCATTGTATATATGCATGATGTTCAGGTCTAACAAATGCAATCCAAGTAGACATGTCTTTGATCACAATAAGTCAGATCACCCCACTGAAAGTGCAATGGAAAAGTATATTTCATTTGTTTATATTAGAACACCTAAATCAGGCCATATTCATGAGTGTATCTCATCTCCTGTAAAATGCCACTATGCTTGTTGTAAGAGTCGACTAATGAGATCGGGTGGTCAGGCTTGCTGACTTGGTTGATGCATGTCATTGTATCCCACTTGCGTGGATTGATACTCATGATGTCAGATACTGGATTGTCTGGTCCAGACTCAATTATTTACAGGCCGCTGTCATATATAGCTGGAATATTGCCGAGTGCGACGTTAAACAACAAACAAACAAAAAATGACACACGAGTCCTGAATTCGATTAAGCGATAAAATATCTTGCTTAGATTTGCATAAGTAAACAGTCAACAGGGTGTGTGAATTACGGGATTTACCGATACTGCATACTAATATAAGAGTCATACTATTATAAGTTGTAGCAAGTTCACGAGGGTTACATGGGGTTTTATGCATCCTGTGTTAGGTTTTATACCACTCACCCCTCGTGATCCTGCTACAACGAATTTATCTTACCAATATGTGACATTGTTAGAGAATTAACACAAATTCAAAATTGTTAGAAAATAGCTGTTCGATTGAGCTGAAGTTAATTTATGCGATGTCATGTGAATTCCATTGACTCAGGAAAAGGGTGAGGCTTTTTGCTTTGTTTATCTCTCAGAAATACACGTGCAGCCTGCATTGCTCATGTGGGGTATAACAGATGTTTTGCCCCGCTGAGAAATATATTCCTCTCCAAGGCACAGTATTTTATCAAGATCAAGTGGGCCAATCGGATCTCTTCATTAATACATGGAGGTATGATAAACTCATCAATTGTAAAAGAATTAACACAAATTCAAAATTGAAAATAGAAAACAGCTGTTCGACTGAGCTGATGTTAACATGCTATGTCACGTGACTTGGAAAAAGCGTGCGGCTTTTTGCTTTGAAGCGGGGGAAGCGGGACATGTAGTACAACTGAATCATGATGGTGCATGACAATCACATGCAGATGCACAAACAGAATTCACGTGACAAAACATATGAGTTCGGCCCAGCCGTTGTGAATCAAGCCGACACGTGCAAACAACCCGTGCCTGTCTCTACCCAGGAACATTTACAAATCATGTGCTGGAACATTAATGGGCTGAAGAATAAGCTTAATAACATTGACTTTATTTCCCTTTGTACCCAATACTGTATTTGTGGTTTAATGGAAATTTGGAAAAATTGTAATTAAGAAAGTAAAGAATCAAGGTTTCTTTCATATGTTTTTGTTAACAATAGAGAAATTAACTCTCGAGGAGTAGTAGCAGTATGTATACATGCTTCTATTATGAAAGGCTATAAAAGAGTTATTACCAAATACAAGGACATTATTTTTGTTCTTTTTGACGAAGCTGTATTTCCTGTTGATCAAGATGGGTTTTTTTCTTTTGTTTATGTATATCCCGCAAATACATCAGGGCAAGCTGGTAACAGGCTCTTCAAAGGTATAGAACACTTTGAAAGATCTCTAATAGCTGTTATGTATGATTTCCCTCATGAAATAATTGCATTTGGGCACTACAACACAGGAACTGGTGATTCATATGATTATGTGATTGATGATGATAACAGACACATACCTTGTCTAGAGGATATGGACTTTGCTTGTGACACATTCTGTACACCAAGGAAGAGCAGAGATGATGTCTATGGAAAGGAGTTAACAGAGTTGTGTTCTGTGCTTTGTATTCACATGCTAAATGGTTGTTGTCTGGGTGATGCATATGGCGCGTATCCATGCATCCAAGGTGAAGGAGTGAGTCTGCTCGACTACTGTAAGTATTGTTTATGTTCAAGTGATATTATTGGATATGATTTAAACTTTTGTGTGCAGACACGATGCGAATCAGACCATTCCCCGAGTAACGCTACATCTAATGACTATGGAGACACCATTAAAGTGGTACATGACTTACCCAAATGTATAAGGGGAGATGTTTCGAACACCTCATTGACAAGACACATGTCAATTCTTCAAGCACATTTCACAATGGAGGAATGTCAAGAACGCTGTTTAATGGATATTGATCAGTCTGTAAAAGAATTAGTTGAAATTATACAGGAATCTGCTCCACATTGTGGTCTTCAAGGCATGTATCAGCATGCCAACATAAGAATATTGTGCATAACAAATAATGGTATGACGATGCATGTATCAAATTAAAACGCAGGAAATTTCAGTTCTTGGACACATTCAAATTAACGAGGAATAAAAACTTTTGAAAGAATATCAACATATCAGCAATGAATACAGAAGTGTTTGTAGGAGAAAGAAAAGTATTAAGAAGATGAATGTGTAACCAGTCTTGTGTCTAACATTACCGACAATAAATCATTCTAAAGGAAATTGAAGGTACTAACACAAACTTCATGTCAGACGATTAAGGATAGTATAACTCCAGGTCAGAAGACTGATTAGTTTCAACAAGTTCTTAATCTCGTTGAGTTTCCAGGGGACTCAGATAACCTGGATTCTGCAGATATTTATGAAGCTACTGTCAAGATGAAATGACATTTTAAACTCTGATATATACTGAAACAGAAGTTGTAACTGCTATAACAAGGCTGAAATGTTGAACAGTCGCTGGACGAGATGGTCTGCTTCCGAAATTTTTTATAAACTGCAGTCACATCTTAGTACCATATTTGACACTACCAGTAAAATACAGATATTTTTTATATTTTATATACTTATACTGCATTACTCCTTAAATAATTTACTGCTTGTTTTGACAGAAAGAAGAAGCTGTGTGTGGTGCAGCTGAAGAAGAAGTTGTTTCAACTAGGTGTGTGGCTAATCCCATCACAGTGCCCATGTGACCACGGGAGGAATGATGTCACTGACCATCACATTACTGCTAGATCATAACATCTGGAGATATCGTAGGGAGGCAGCTTTGCAATGGGTTGGCCACGTTCGCAAGTTAAGTATGCAAACATAAAAAATATCTAGATCTTACGAGAGTTTTTCACTTATCCTGCATTACTCCTCAATGCATCTTTATCAGACAGTACGGCAGATGGCATGCATTCAGATGTGGTCCTCAGTGACATAAACTCTCCAGTAGTTCACGACAGTCGTTGAGCGCATCATTTGCCCAGATCTGTAACTATTTCTACCAATCCTGTCCACAGATGGTACGATAGTATGAAGACGTCTCGGTATAAAGCAGCAAGAGAACTTTGCGTGTGCTAAAGTCTAGAAACTGATTTACCAAGCCAAACTGCTGGTTAGCAGAATAACCCCCCTGTCAGGCGTGCAAACACTGCATGAGTCGGTTAAGTCTGGCTTTGGACAGGAGGAGCATTTTAATGGTGATGAGGATTGCTGTGACTTTTTGGGTTGCAAACAGAAGACCAAAACAAGGAATGCCTTCGACATCTTCCAAGGTCAAGTTCCTCAGGTATTGGCTTGCAAAGACAGTGTCTGACCCCCTCAAAACAGCCTTCCATGATGGCTCTAATAGAGCAGTTACTGTGTCAAGCCGTTGTAGAGACAACAGCTCCAATCTCATGAGGATTATCAGCTCGCGGCGGATCAAGGTTGGCGATCTCATAAGCCAGAAGGATGAGAGCTTGCAACCATAAGGATATAGTGTTGCAGTTGGCTTCAGTCATTGAGGTCAGGAATATGGGAATAAAATGGCATCTCCAAGCACCATACTAAATCTTGGAGCGACGGATATAAATCACACTACACACACAAGGCAAAAAGAATGTTTCCTCGTCTTCAGTTCCCACGATCGATGACAAAGGTGGGATGGAGAAAGCCCGGTCAGTTTGTCCTGGTAACTGATTCTTGACCATAAAATCCCAGCACAGAACAAGGTGAACGACTCTGTGCGTACCATGCTCAAAGCGTACACGGGTAATGTTGAGAGCGTGCAGCTCACTAACCCTTGCCTTCGTGGCCAGTGTCAAAAAGAATATCCTTTTCTTGGTGAGGTTATAAATGATGTCGCGTGAAGAGGCTTGAACAGGGGAGCACGCAAACACCGAAGTACAACATTCAAATCCCATGCAGGAGGGCGAAACTTGACCTAATCTTCAAGGTGCAATAAGGGTAACAGCGCCTGTAGATCCAGGATCTTGGTCATTTAATAATCTTCCGGAACTGCAAACATCGAATTATGAGACACTAAATAGGTAGTAAAGGTGCTGCCTTTCAGTGGTCGCTTAGTTAGCAGATGAGGGGGGGGGGGGGGGGGGGGCATTTCAGCCAGGAATTGAGGCGACGCAGTAGTGGGGTTATGATCCTTTCTTTTACAAAAGGTTCCGTAGGATCACCACCTATCATCACAAAGGTCACGGGTTGAAGGTCTATGTGACATAGCAATAGCCTTAACTGCATGTGCCGAATACCCTTTTGCACCTAGGCTCTCTTAAAATGAGTCAGGTGTGCCGATAAAACTGGCGTTGGGTGTGGTAACCTTCTGTGCGGATGGATGAGTAGGTTGAACCCCCCCAGTAGAGGTAGTGGATCGCTTCTTGCCTTTTGCCATCCAGCAAGATAGGATCACAAATCAGAGTGAGTGAGTGAGTATGGTTTAACGCCGCTTTTAGCAATATTCCAGCAATATCACGGCGGGGGACACCAGAAATGGGCTTCACACATTGTACCCATGTCGGGAATCGAACCCGGGTCTTCTGCGTGACGAGCGAACGCTTTAACCACTAGGCTACCCGACCGCCCCCACAAATCAGAATGAGGCTCATGGTACTTTCCAAGGAATGCTGAATGTGTCTATCACCCCAAGCCTGTGAGTCTGGGATCGGGGAGACATAATTGTGATCTGGTAGTTCTGGCAAGGTGCGAAGAGGTAGATGTTGGGATGACCTGGGTGCAGACATATGGGATGAAACACCTCGGGATAGAGCTTCCATTCCGTTCGAGCTACCCTGTCTGGCCTGGATAGAGCATCTGCCAGAACGTTCCGACATTTGGGAATGTGCTGGACCAGAAAACTTAAGCCCAGTCGATCTACCAGATGGAAGAACCGGAACGTCTGTTGGAGGAAGGAGTGAGAGTGTGTTGGCCCCTGTTTGCACAGGCACCAGACCACCATGACGTTGCTGGTGGAGATGGTGAGTGTACCGGAGGTGAACCCGCAAATGTGATATCGCCAAATGAGGTACTTGATGTGCCAAGTGTGCTGGACCACAGCCCTGAGGTCAGCTGGTCCTCCAAATGCAACAGGAGGATGCAACTGTAGTCGACCACAGCTCGTCACGTCCTGGGCTGACGTGAGCAAACCCAGGCGCACTTGCTATTGACAAAGTGTAAGTGGCTTTTGAAGAGGGGGGGGGGGGGGGGGGGGCAGATTTTAGATCAGGCTATTTACAAGGCTGTAAAGTTGAAAAGTCAACTTCAGGAGGGTCTCTGATTTTGTTGTGGCTTGAAGATATATGGAAAATTGTGTTTGTCAGCAAACCAATGCCCAATCCCATGTAGACGAAATAAATGTGCTGTATCAAGTAGATAAGGGTATTCTGCTGGAGACTAGGTGCAAGCTCCACTCACAGCCAATTCTCTGTGAAGTGTGGCAGACAGACAAGTGGAGTTTCCAAGTTCTGTGTAGAATGTGTGGCGCGGCGGTGTAGGCGCATTTTGATCTCCATGATATTTGTGACATCTGGTCCTGTCATGTGAACGATGATCCTGAGAGGTGGGTACCCGGTAGCATATGATAATTCTGTAAAACATTCATGTCTATCAGAAGCCACATGAAACAAATCCTATGAGAGTTCACAGAACCCTTGCCATGAGGCCAGGCGCTGCCAAGGGCTTGAGGAGAAAGTTGGACCTCCATTGTATGAAAGCAAATCACGTCTTCAGCAACTGCTCTGATCTCGTGAGGGTTGTTGGCCCTGGGGGAATCCAATCCAGTGGTTTCATAAGCATGTAACTACATGAGAGCATGTAACCACAAGGCGATCGTGTTACGGCTAACTTCTGTCTGCAAGGTGAACTCGGGTGTGTGCCATGTCCGCCACCTTCAATGCATGGATGGGGAAATCGTCCTTCCTCAATCAATGAACCTTGAATGCTGACAATAAAGATAATATCGCAATTTCCTTGTTCAATCCTGAGACCAGATGGAGGAAGGCTTGGACCAAATAGTGTCTTGTTTATTCACGTCTGCTGGAACATGGATTGCATCATTTGCAACCAGGTGGGATCCTTATAGGGATCCTGGAGGAGCTGTTGAGGTGCCAACTGGAAGGGCAGAGGTCCGAACCCCAGAGGCACTGTGTAGCTGCTCAGGAGTACTGTCGTCTCTAGAGTAGTCACCAGCACCTGTACAGGTGAGGTGTTAACTCGATCGACGCTGGGGAGGCCGATCTTAGAGGGGTAGATGCTGGTAGGGGCTTCTAGCCTGAAGAAAATGGAGTAGTCCTGGCTGGTGGATTTGTAGCAGTCTTTGATGAGTTAGACATCTTCCTTTCAGCTTGTCTCCATGCTGGCTGCAAACGGCACTTCCGAGAGATCCTCAGGTATGCAAAAGCTACTTTTTGTAGCTGTTGAACATATATCGCTGCAGTCCAGACACAAAGGGTGGGGATCCTAGACAGACTTGTTACCGTGGCACTGAGTACTACGGTGCATAAATCTGCAATGAAGCAGACGGTGTAACCACAGTGCGTTCCCACCATAATTATGTGTGTATGTAATATTCTAAATCCAAGAACACGAGGGTTAAAGGATAACATTACGCAAAGGGAGGTGAATAAAACACTTTAATAACCATAGAGAAGCATAGGCACAACAATGTATAAGAAGTACCGAGCAACAGAAGGAAGTACCGAGCAACAGAAAGAAGTACCGAGCAACAGAAAGAATACAAAACGCATGACAAGAGAAAACGTGACCATGAAGTGAATTCAAACTGGGTAATTGGAACAATACGCCTGGTACCTACCGTGCAAAATAGCCACCATCAAGCATTAGAAGTTAATGCAATTGCAAAAATAGTTGTTAAGACATGAAGTCACAAACCATATGAAGGATATAAATCACCAAAAAAACAAATAGTGTTAAATAACACTCGAAGGATGTCAATGGATTGTAGCTTGAGAACTCAAACAGGACTGCTCAGTCTGAGTGACAGCACTTATGGTGATGGTCCGTGATGTCACCACTTCCGCGGTTACGTGGGCACTGTGTGATGGGATTAGCCACACAACTAGTTGGAACAACTTCTTCTTCAGCTGGACCTCACACAGCTTCTTCTTTCTGTCAAAACAAGCAGTAAATGCATTAAGGAGTATTTAATTGTATCTTGCAGACTGGTGTATTCCTATCAAGCTGGTGAAAAGGAATAATCACACTTTTGCACAAGACCCGTGAAGATCCGGGTTAGAGTAGGTCTTCAGCAACCCATGCTTGCTGTAAATGGCGACTTTGCTTGTCGTAAGAGGCGACTAACGGGATCGGGTGGTCAGGCTCGCTGACTTGGTTGATGCATGTCATCAGTCCCAATTGCGTGGATCGATGTTCATGATATTAATCACTGGATTGTCTGGTCCAGACTCGATTATTAACAGACTGCCGTCATATAGCTGGAATATTGCTGAGAGCGGCGTAAAAAACAAACAAACAAATCTTATAACACAGTCACCTTTTATGGTTGCTGAAGACCTATTCTACCCCGGATCTTCAAGGGTCCTTTGCACAATGGAAACGTGAATGATGGTAATAATTATAGAGGGATAACTCTAGTAGATACGCCAGGAAATATTTTACTGTTGTTTTGAATAATAGATTATCTGTCTTTGCTGACATGTATGAAAAGGTCCCTGAAGCACAGGCTGGATTTAGGCATGGTTACTGCATGGTAGATAACATTTTCACAATACAATGTATTGTTCAAATATATCTTTCTAAACAAGGTGGAAGGTTTTAATGTCTTTCTGTTGATTTCAAAAAAGCTATTGATTCTATAAAGAGGAAACTACTTTGCTACTCTATTATGAACAATGGTGTTCATGGTTGCATATTAGTTGTGTTAAAAGACATGTACTCAAAAGTACAATGTGCTGATTATATTTCGAAAACGTCATTTTCACACTTTTTCTATTCCCTAAACAGTGTTTGTCAAGAGTGTGTTATCAGTCCTTTTTTGTTTCTATGTTTATGTTAGAACTGCATGATTGAGGATAATAATCTCAGAGGTATATTGGTTGTTTCAGAGTTTCTGGAAATACTCTTACTATTATATGCAGATGATTTATGCTTTATTGATGATTGTATAGTTGAGCTACAAAGGAAAGTTAACATTCTTGATAGCTTTTGTAAGAAATGGGGTCAACAGGTTAATTTGGATACAACAGAAGTAATGGGATTTAGAAATGGGGATATACTAAGGCATTGTGAAAAATGGTCTATTGGTGAAGTTCCAATAACAGTGACTACTTACTACAATTATCTAGGTGTTCTGTAACAGATTGTCCTGGGCAAAGTGTATAGACACATTGATTATCAAAGGTAATAAAACTCTGTTTCAGATCAAAAGGTTACAATGTAAATTCTCACAGATGCCTGTAAATAGTACTAAATACTCTATTTAACTGCTGGACACTAAAATGAAGCCTGTTATTCTGTATGGGGCAGGAGTGTGGTGCTTTCAGCAATACCCAGTATTAGAATTGTTTTATGCTAATCTCTGTAGATATGTGTTGGGGATAAGTAAATATGTCTCCAGTATTGATATTTTAGCAGAATGTGGATGTATGTAGATTATTTTCAGTTTCGGTTTTAGTGATGTATGGCTATCCCAGAACATTGGTGATAAAAATCTCTTATTGGTAGTATTCAAGAAACATTTGCGGAAACATTACGCGAATTCATACAGTTTGCACATCAGTTTTTCGATTCATACCTCAATGAAACGAAAAAATACACAGTCAATACTAAATGAAATGGGCCTATGTATGGGTCTATGGCCTAATTACCAAATAAACAGTACATATAGATTATCCTGATCTTGAAAAAAATATTCACTAGTTCATAAAAAAAACAAAAATTACAATATTTTGGTAGAATATTGTTCCAATTGTTCATGTTTTGTCTATTTCTGTCTGAGCTTGTCTTCTTATTTTTAAGGGTTACGAACTCGTTTCATTTCGCCTACGAAATTACATCTACAGCCGCCTAAAACATCACTAGATTCAGCCAGACAAAATTAATAGCATTCATCATTTCTGCCAGTTTATTCCGTCAGTTCATCCACAAAAATAATTAGTGTTTGTGATGTTTCTAATAAGTTACTGGTCATTTTCTCACGACATACTGAAATTGTAGCGCTTTTATATCGTTTTTGGTTATCAGCTGTTTTGTGTCGGCCAACATGTGTTGATATTTACTCACCTGAGTCAATAATAGTTTGAGAATTTTGTATGTAGCTAAATCTTGGAATTCATCATTATTGACACTCTTGCTAGATACGAAGCTCGCTTGGTGCATACAATAATTACTAATCGTCTTATGTTTACAAATTTTCAATAACCCGCCATCTTCTTTCAGTCTTTCTAATGAAAAGAGTTACAAAGAATGGGAGATAATTCAGGGTAGCCTCGTTCTGAGTTTGTTTGCTGTTGTCAAAGATGGAGGATATTGAGAATGTTTGGAGGATGGTGAATGATTCCCCTGATATTCCCTGAACCTGTCTGTGAAAGCCGCGCTTGGATCAAGCAACGATACATTCTACAACATTACCTCTGTTGTTCTGAGACGACAACTTAGTGATTCATCATGCCAGGACTGGAAGAATCGCTGTTCTCATTGGAGTTAGTTGTAGAAAAGTTGTATGTTCCTCATGTAACATGTCGGTTTCCCGCTATTGCATTCCGATTGCTTGACTTTCCAACGATTTTAATCAGCCACGTAGAGCCAGACTTAGCTAATACAATCAAAGCTAAGATAACGCGAGATCCTTATTACCAATTACCAGATCAGTTTGCTGAATTAAAAGACAAGCACGGAAATTTTATGGTGAAAAAGGGAAAATCATGTCTGTTCAAGATTCCCGTTGAGTGTCTGAGGATGCATTTGACTAACACACCACTTTATGTCATGGTGATTGATACATTCTCAGACACACCAAAGTTAATGGGGAATAGTGCAGTACCCCTGAATGCCCTGATGGATGATATATCGGTGGATATTGCAAAACTAGGCACTACTGTACCTTCAGTTCATGGCGACAAAGGTCTCTTTAAAGTGTACAGCTTGATGGGGAAAGAAATTGGATACTTTGTCCTGGGATTCAGGTTGCTTTGCTTAGGACCTGGGTTAATTCCACATTTACCAGAAGCTGCTTTGTCAAGTCGTGTAATAAAACAAACAGTGAAAGAAAATGAAACAGTGGAAGAAGCAATACATCCGAGTCGGATACATCAAGTTACTACTCACCATGAAGCACAACATTTGAATGAAACTCGAGACATGGGATCTATGACAGATGTTGAAAAACAAGATGCTGTTCTTCAGACCATGGAGTTTAATGACAAAGCAGTGCATGTGGCAATTTCATGTCCAGATGATAATTCACAGAAACAGAAGTGTTTGACAGCATCTACACAAACAGAAAAGCATAAAAAGGTGAAGCAAGTCTTAAATGAAAAGCAAAGCTTCATAGAACATGTGGAAGAAAAAGATGATGATGATGGAATTTTCATCAATAACATTGTATGTCCACCACCAATGTTTTACAATAGTGAATGTGACCCAAAAATCAAAATGCACAAACTCCTGCACTATGATACTATATCTGAGGATGACCTTACCATTGAAGATCTGGAAAGTGTAGATGATAAGAGGAATACTAAGGCAACATTGAAAGAGAAGAAGGGACAAGACCAGAATAAGATGACTAGTCACAGACCATCTGAAATGCAGACTGCAAAAGTACCAAGAGCTAGTGATGTTACAACTTCAAGTTCAGACATGTTCCCAATTCTAACAGCTCTTCTGAATGAGCTCACTGGAATTAGGAACTCACATTTATTGGAAGCTGTTGTAAAAGTTACACAGGGAAAGCAGCGTGGTCAACAAATCCCTACAGCTGATAAGAAACCACCAGTACCAAGGTCTACAAGCAAACGACTTGAAGAATTAAGTCAACCTAGACAACCTTTTCATAAGGCAGGTCAACTGATAAATGAAGCCATGGTACAATCCAAAATAGAAGATGAACTGACAGCTGGAAGAAGACCCTATAGACAGTGTGCTGAGCCACAGTCTCCCATTCCAAAGAACAAGGGGTGGTTGAGACAGCTACCCGAGCAAGGTGTAAAGAAGAGTCCTCTTAAGTTTGGTTTGACCCATACACAGAGACTCAGACTGGCTAAAACAAACCCAGGATGGCTAAAAACTGTAGAGAGGGAAGAAGCTGAGATGAAGAAGAAGAAAGAAAAGGTAGCAGCTGCTACCAAAGCAGATTCAGATGCTGAACTGAATGTTACTAATTTTTCTGATACTCTTACTGAAGTCAGGCGCTTGGCTGAGAAGGAACTTGAAGGGGATGAGACCCTAGACACAACTGCACTCCAGAGTGACCTAAGTCAAGATGACTCAAGAATAGCTACAGAGACAAGGAGGAATCCTGGCAGTGCAGAGAGGGGCAAAAAGTGGTTAAATAGATATGGAAAGCGTTCACCTTCACCTAAACACAGGAGCATGTCTCCCAAATACCATTCAAATTTTACGAAGAAAAAGTCAAAGGGACACGTGGAGCCAGATAGGGAAGATGATGGTAAGAAAAAAATCAGGAAGCCAAGTATGAGACATGCGATGTCAACTGAGACTGATGAAAACAGTCAAAAGAGTGATCAACAGAGTCAAAGGAGTATAGAAGTACATTTGCCCAGTGCTCACATGGATGATGATGGTGACAGTGACAGGACACTTGATGATAGAGACACTATTCCTAATGACCAACTGGAGAGTAAAAATAGGAGATTCCCTGGATTTGGCAAGGGCAATGAATCTTTCCCTGAATCAATTGATGGTCAACCAAATAAATCTTTGAGTGAAACGAGAGATGATGATCAACCACTGGAATCAACAAGGCTGTCCACAAATGTACCAAGGTTGAAAGATTCCTCTGACTATGACACTCATCAATTTATGTCAACTGAGGAGCCAGAATTACAAGGTTTGATGAGTGATGAAGATGACAGATCAGACATAATGGACAGTGGCAGGCATGGGCGCCTCTCTGGAGCTGTCGTCTCTGCAAGCATGGCATCAGTGCACAATTTTCCAGTAATGAATCCTGTTGCCTCAGAGCAATCCCCTGTGCCTGCCACTAGACGTTCAACAGTTAAGTTAGACATGGGCCCAAGTCAAGAACTTACGCCGAGGGAAGGTACTCCTCAGTCTCAAGGTAGCTCAAAACGTCCAACACCGCGACCCCGGCGACCAGCCAGATTAGGTAGAGAATCAGTGCACACAGACTCGGTGAGTTCCTACCAGCCGTCAGATCCAGATAATGCTCTGATTTCCCTCAGCAGTGATGCAAACTACTCTGATGACTTTCATCCAGTTGGCAGTGAGCTTGACGATAGTCTCACAGATATTTCTTCTCCAGACATTCTGCTGCCTAGATATATTCCATCCACAAAACTTGGATACACTATAGCATAAGCAGGATCATGTTTTTATTGGAATATTGAGTAGACTTCAAAATTAGGAGGGGGCACAGGTGACCCAGTTTCCTAAGGAGCCACATTACTCTGTGCAGAGTTCTGTTCTTTGTGCACACCAGAGACCTATGATTGGCTTGAATCACAGTTCAACCGGATTATGTTTCCAAGTTTGTCAGAGTGGTAAACATCTGAGACCTGCATCACTTCGAGCTTTCCTTCCAAATTAAGCTGAAATGCAGTGATATGACTTGAATACTGTTCAAAGCAGCATCAAACCCAACTCACTCACTCTAAATTAAGGGGGGGTCCTTGAAATCTTCTCCAATGACATTTGAATCTAGCAGCCCTCTAAATCTTTAACTTTTACTATTTATGGCATGACTAGGGATATGGATTTCATGCTCAATTTCAAACACTGTTGACATGGTTGAAGCCGAAGTTGAATAGTCATCAGTACACTTAGTCATGGTTTTAGGTGTTACAATGTTTGTGAATATTTGTTAGCATGTTTGTTTGTCATGTGTCGCCCATTCACTGGACCAATCAAAATGAAAGTTCACATACTTATAGACACACCAATTTGTTTAAGAATTGGCATATTGAAAAACCTCATCGTGGCTATTTCTCAACAGTTTATGGTTCAAAATGTTATGGAATGTGGCACGTGTGTAGTACAATGTTATAAGTAGTTGAGCTCAACATAATGTTCCTTTTTGGCAATATTTTAATATTTGACCTTTGCAATTCAACATTACTGAAAGCAGAAACATCTTATCGATATTAATCAGACATTTTATTTCAGGAACTTGTGAAGTTTGACAGATCTGTCATAAGTAGTGGGGCTCTCCTGATGTTCTTGTTCTTGAAAGTTTGTACATGTGTAGTTCATAGTGGGGTCCAACATATATGTTTAGTTTTGTTTATGGTATGTTTAATTTTGACCTTCGATTGATCTTTGCAATTTGACCATGTTACTAAATTCAATCAAACCTCACTCTGTGAACAGCATCTCCTCAGAAACAACAGTACCAGTGAAGTTGAAACTGCACATGCTTGTTCCCACCTCTGATAACACCTGAATTTCTTCAAGAGGTTTGAATCTGATTGTCAGTCTCAGCCATTTCTGCTCAAAATGTAACGTAATGCTTTTACATTATCTCAAAATACAGGGTTTTTTCTCTGTAAACATTTTCTGCAGGGTCCAGACTTGGGAAGCTAAATTTTGGCATGTATTGCTCTCCTTATGATGACATCATATTATATTCAAATCATTAGCAGTGATTAGGATTTGACTTCTTTTACTGAAACATACAACTAAAAAAATACAATTACAAATTTTTTCTCCTTAGGTTTGTAATAAGGCTTGAGTTGAAATTTTGTGTAAACATGTTCAATTTTACTGTTGAGTATTGCAACACTGTTCTACAATAGTACATTCATTCTTGCAGATTTGGAAACATTGTGGATAGTTACTTGTAGAAAATATTTGATTAGCAATGCTGACATTAGTTACTACTTTTTGTAAGGGGCTGTTTTTGTTGACATTTGAGATTGTTCACTACATATCCAAGTGGGCTGCATTGCTCGGGCACTATTTTATATGTTTGAATTTGTCCTGTCGCATCTGACATCATGTCTTTATTCATGCTTCATAGCTTTACTTTTGTTGATCATGTTGATGTATTAAATAATATACTGATGAAAACTTTATAACAGTGATAACATGATCATGAGTATAAGGACACCCTCCCCCCAATACCCACTTGAAAGCCTGATATTCCACTATAGTCTGGAAGGTAATTTAAGGTACCAACGTTTACTACAATATCTGAAAGACTATCGGACCTACTCCAGTCAAAGTTGGTATGAGATTATTAAACAGTCATACACAACTGGATATTACATTTAAAGACAATCGGTGCATGAATAAAAAATCTGTCTATTTAGCTATCACTATATTTCATCGACAACCAGACCTGTTCGTCACGGGTGGAACGAGCATTCATTGAAACAGCCATCTGCATAATGCTACCCCTGCATCACAGGGCCATATGACACAGTTGAACCAATCAACTCAACTCGAAAGGGTGCACGGGAATCACGCACGCACGAATAGGGGGTAGCGTTGGGCGTCCCGAGTAGGTCCGATAGTTTTTCAGATATTGTAGTAAACGTCAGTACCTTAAATTACCTTCCAGACTATAGGTCGCAGGATACCTTTTTTATTTATTGTGTAACTTGAATATTCTGAGAGTGAGCTTGTGATAATATGTGTTTCAATAAATGAAAAGATTGTGATAACTTAGAAACCATATTCCTTTATCAAAGGACCATGAACATAATCAATTTAGGTTAGTTTTGAATGGAAGACCATTGATTTGTCAGACAGTAGTATTTGTCATTCATTTTCATGCCATATGACACACCCTCCTGTGTCTTGTATACATGTTGTTTGTAGCTGTGCCTCCCACATCACTCATGTCAAAGTATCGCAGTGGATCAGAAACAATTATCTAGTTCTCCTGGTTATCAGTTTGATCCTAGTTACTATCACTGATCACAGTCATTGACTTGCTACACATGGTAAACAATGCATCAATCACAGGGTTACTTTAGGTACAGGTATTCAGAATAATTAACACCTTTGTCATGACATACGCCACTGGTATTAGAGTTGATGTTAATTTGAGGCATAGCAAGTTTACACTGTTAGCATGGTAAGACAAACAATCATTCATGAACACATATATTGTGTTTATGGGAATATTTAACTTGATCATATAATGGATAGTATTAGTCCAATGAACTTGGTATCACAATCTGATAAATATGCAAATGAAGTCACCTTGTAGGAACTACTTTCAAGCCCCATACATTGATGCAGCGCCTTCTTACTCAATAACCTATTGACAACATTCCCAGTATGTCGCTGGGCTTCTGTAGACAAACAAAGATGCAAGTCATTTGGCAGTATCTGGTAAGTTGGGCAATTTACTCGATCTTTGTGTTCCTACAGTTTCTACAGCTCTCCACTGAGGGAAATTACGTCTTAAACATCCATTATTGTAAGATTGACATTTTGTCATAGAGACCTAGCCTCGCCAAAGGCTCAATTTTCATTCCTTGCATATATTTACGATATGAAAAACATACTCTGCTCATAATCTCTATATAATTGCTTATACGTGATTATAGAATGTTTGTTCATTGACAGATTTATTGATTGTCCCCTTATTAATTCCACTATTAGTCACATCAGTATGATAATGATTGATGGTTATGAGGGTCTTCTGCATAACTTGTAGATACGCACCAGTTTCAGTGCTGTGCACATGTTTCACCTGCTGTGTGTGGACAAGACAAGGGTAATGTGGTGTGCGACAGTGAATACTGATGTGTATTTCATGGTATACCATGTACATCAAGGCTGACACTCTACTTACATCTTTTAGCATTTTGTAGGAGTAATATGAATTGGTTTCTTTTGTTAGGCTAAAAATAATAAAAGAATTGGTTCTTTGGCAATGACTTTTGAAAATATTGTGCGGGTGGGTGGCAGCGCTTTTTTTTTTTTTGCTTTTCAAACTAGTATGTATCCAAATATACAGTTGTGCACCATCAACCTGGGAAAGGGCCTCCCTACATAAACAAGCATACAAACTCATATTGCCGCCATGACCATAACACGAGCTGCGCAGGAAAGCAGTGTGCATGTAAAGGGAAGTAACTGTGCGCTATATTGGATTGCATTGTTGTTAAGTATTAGGATTTTAATATTTCTTTTAAAATGGAAATAAAAAATAAACATGTGGCAGACTTTATGATGATGCGGGCGGTGCCTGAGAACCAAGACTATTATTTTTTTTAGCCTTATTTTTCATCTTTTTTAGTTTTAAGAACTACTGTGTCCAAAAAGCACAGAGCAGGTTTATTGTTGTATTTATAATAGGGCTGGTACAAGTCCAAGTTTACTATCCACATACCTGATCCCCTATTACCAAACCCTACCTGGGTACCCACTGTAGGTCTCAAGAGTTGGCAACAAAATGTCTGAGTAGAAACATTTTTGCCGGAGCCCTGGCTAAAACTATTTAGATACACGGATAAAATGATCTGATCATGCTGAAGTTGACTGAAGCTCTATTTTCACTCAAACATAAAGTCAGAAGGAGTGCATGCTTATTCAGAAAGAAATGCGAATATTAGAGACTTGCAGTGTAACCATGGAGTTACAGTTGTAGTCAGTAAACAATATATAACAGGTCCTGATAGCCTTTGGGTACCCAGGACCCACTCAGGACCCACTCAGGACCCACCCAACCTGAGTTGCCCGTACCAGCCCTAATTTATACCATCATATTCTACAAATGTATTTAAATAATAACAATGTAAATACAAGCATTTTTTTTACATGTTTGTATATAGACTAAAACATGTAAACTGGAAATATATATTATTATCAAAGCATGAAGTGGTTTTTTTATTACTGTTTTGGTGCACTGTTGCAGCTGGGTTTTTTATCAAAACTAATGGCCTATAGTCATGGGATGATTGCATCGATGAATCATGATTTATAACTTTCATGATACAAGTATGGATCACAGTCACACAGTAAACAATATCAAATTGTACCTGAAATGCTTGCTTTAATAACTGTTTCACCAAACACTAATCAGTAGTGAAACATACATATTGTCATCTACTGCGCTATACATACGTACTTGACACTGCCAACTGTAAATCAACAGTGTGCCAGGTATTTGGCCATCCAGTTTTTTAAAAAGGATGGCTCACGCACCACAGATAAGAGCAAATGCAAGTATCGTGATACGTATCGGATAGTGAGCAAGTATGGGATGGCACAGCTGATGTATCGTCCCAGCTCTAGTGGAGTGGAGTTCCTGTGTAAAACTACTTGTAAAAGAAACCATGTAGTAAAATGACAAAAACAGATAATCAAACTTGTAATAAAACACATTGTTGTTTGAAGCGACGACTTAATATCAGACTACAGTCAGAGCTACTAACATCACCTCTTGGAGGACCTTGAACTGTTGAAATAGACCAGGATATCTGCATTGTGGGATTGTAAAGATACTCAACATGCTACAGCATTACTACTGTACCATGGTATAGCTACTGCAATAGTTAAGATACTCAACATGCTACAGCATTACTACTGTAAAATGGTATAGCTACTACAATAGTTAAGATGCTCAACATGCTACAGCATTACTACTGTAAAATGGTATAGCTACTGCAATAGTTAAGATGCTCAACATGCTACAGCATTACTACTGTAAAATGGTATAGCTACTGCAATAGTTAAGATGCTCAACATGCTACAGCATTACTACTGTAAAATGGTATAGGTACTACAATAGTTAAGATGCTCAACATGCTACAGCATTACTACTGTAAAATGGTATAGCTACTACAATAGTTAAGATGCTCAACATGCTACAGCATTACTACTGTAAAATGGTGTAGCTACTGCAATAGTTAAGATGCTCAACATGCTACAGCATTACTACTGTAAAATGGTATAGCTACTACAATAGTTAAGATGCTCAACATGCTACAGCATTACTACTGTAAAATGGTATAGCTACTGCAATAGTTAAGATGCTCACAATAGTGGCCATGGAAATGGAAAAAAACATCAGTTCAATTCAAGGAACTGCATTGTTGACAAAATGTGTCTTTTTTTAACATCTTAAAACCACAGGGTCTGTGGAGCCTTAACTTTGGATGGCAGTTATCGGAAGTAATGTCTCTTAACATTGAGAATTCCCATCAATGTGGTATATGGTATAAATAAAGATCAAATATGTTTCTTTATCTATCATGAAACTTCATATGCTGTAAGCATATTAAGTATGTGGTATCTACTATTAAAAACACCTAGTATGACCTTTGACATGCACATGCCCCCGTGATTCTGAATCAAGTTCTACTTCATATTGTGACACCTGAAACCAAACAAGCCTATGAATCTAACCCTTTGCATAGAAGAAGCCATCAATGGTGTCTCTAAAAGTCATTAGTTTAGTCTCGGCCACATCTGCATGAATTATTGTGAAGTTTTGGCCATCTACTCAGACAGTTAAATGTATTAATGTGCCAAACATATGAAATATGATACAGCTTGACCATCTAAAAAAAAGCATGTACCCCCCCCCCCCCCCCCCCCCAAAGTAAATGACCAGTCTCTTATTTTGGCAAATTGGTGGTTTATCTGGAAAGGAAATTGTTATGCTAACACTTTGATGGTGGATGTCCTAGAACCTGATCAGCAACATTCGTGAGACAATACATGGACCTAGCTGACTGACCAGCAACATTCGTGAGACAATACATGGACCTAGCTGACTGACCAGCAACATTCGTGAGACAATACATGGACCTCGCTGACTGATCAGCAACATTCGTGAGACAAAACATGGACCTAGCTGACTGACCAGCAACATTCGTGAGACAATACATGGACCTAGCTGACTGACCAGCAACATTCATGGGACAATACATGGACCTAGCTGACTGATCAGCAACATTCGTGAGACAATACATGGAGCTCGCTGACTGATCAGCAATATTCATGAGACAATACATGGACCTAGCTGACTGACCAGCAACATTCGTGAGACAATACATGGACCTAGCTAACTGACCAGCAACATTCATGAGACAATACATGGACCTAACTGACTGATCAGCAACATTCGTGAGACAATACATGGACCTAGCTGACTGACCAGCAACATTCATGAGACAATACATGGACCTCGCTGACTGATCAGCAACATTCGTGAGACAATACATGGACCTAGCTGACTGATCAGCAACATTCGTGAGACAATACATGGACCTAGCTGACTGATCAGCAACATTCATGAGACAATACATAGAGCTCGCTGACTGATCAGCAACATTCATGAGACAATACATGGACCTAGCTGACTGATCAGCAACATTCGTGAGACAATACATGGACCTAGCTGACTGACCAGCAACATTCATGAGACAATACATGGACCTAGCTGACTGATCAGCAACATTCATGTGACAATACATGGACCTAGCTGACTGATCAGCAACATTCATGAGACAATACATAGAGCTCGCTGACTGATCAGCAACATTCATGAGACAATACATGGACCTAGCTGACTGATCAGCAACATTCATGAGACAATACATAGAGCTCGCTGACTGATCAGCAACATTCGTGGGACAATACATGGACCTAGCTGACTGATCAGCAACATTCGTGAGACAATACATGGACCTAGCTGACTGACCAGCAACATTCGTGAGACAATACATGGACCTAGCTGACTGACCAGCAACATTCGTGAGACAATACATGGACCTAGCTGACTGATCAGCAACATTCGTGAGACAATACATGGACCTAGCTGACTGATCAGCAACATTTGTGAGACAATACATGGACCTCGCTGACTGATCAGCAACATTCGTGAGACAATACATGGACCTAGCTGACTGATCGGCAACATTCATGAGATAATACATAGAGCTCGCTGACTGATCAGCAACATTCGTGAGACAATACATGGACCTAGCTGACTGATCAGCATATGTCTACTTACAGTAGAGACAAAGATGGTGTGGTTGTGTATTGACGTCATGTTAGAAGTGAAGTAAATGATGAAAAGTTGAGGTGAAATTGGGTTTAACGTCGCGTCCAAGATTACTGCACTTATATAGCGACATGCATGCACGTGTGTGTATGTGGCTGCTTGTACTCGTCCGGACTGATGCCGATTTATGGTGCGAGCACGTCTTTTGGTATGACATGGCCGGGGATCGAACCCTGGACCTTCTGCTCTACCACTTGATGATAAAAAGAAGGTTGGAAACATTCTAGTGAAATAAGTGATAAGTAGACATGTTTGCTACAGTCCCGTGAGGTGACTCTATTTCACCTATATGATCTAATACTGCAATCAGTGTTGAGACATAAGGCTTTCCGGCTCTACATGTTTATTTACTTATTCCAGATCATATTTGAACAACATTTTACATCTTCCAGCATAACAAATAAGTGGAAAAAATTGACAAGAACTTAATTTGTGATAATGATACAGAATAAAATCCACTGAAGTTAAAATATAAACCCAAGAAGCAGTTTGTGGGTCCTCACAGACCAGGTACACTGTAGAACAGCCAATAGGAAACATCAGACTTATGTTTGCAACACCAAACACAGGAAATACTGATCACAAATGTTTCAGGATTCAGTGTACTGCGGGTTCATTTGGGTATTGCATGTGTGTCTCATGTATACTACTCACAAGAAGTTTAAGAACACCTTATGTTCTGCATATCACCATAATTAATCTGTCATTGCTGGTGGATTTTGCAACAGAAAACCTTCCAAATGTCGGTGTTCTTTAACTTCTTTTGAGCAGTATACATTAAGCATATCTTTTAGATTACAACATAATAAGGTAGTCAATAAAAGCTCCACGTCTTTGAGTGAAATTTACAAGTCAGTGTCCTGAACATAGCCAAGTTCTTATTGAACAACGTGTTTATTACAATTGAGGTGATGTTTCTGTGTAGATTCCTTTATCTACATGATCACCTGTAATAATGAGGTTGTATATCCATAAGAACGTGTCCTTGCTCTAGCCCTAGTCGACTGACAGAAGCACACAGCTGAAGTGTACAAACAATGTAAGTCCACAGGAAGATTATAAGGAAGTTAGACAGACAACTTGTAATTGTTTATTGTGTTTAATATGGTAGATCTCAACAGGACACTGCACTTCACAGAACACATATATAAAGGCAGGTAAGAAATTGTAACAGCAGTTAAATGTAGGTATGTTCACATTCTTCAAAACAAACTCATATTTACCGTATTTTACCTAATAATAGTTACCAGGCAATTATATACACACATGCTGCGCTTTTCTATAAAATGTTTAATATGGACTGTCAAGTGACAAGATTAGTTACAGATTGATCTAGTAGAATGACACTATTTGCTACAATCTTGCATTGTCACAGTATACATGGGTATACACTCATTTGGTGATGAATGGTCCCATAAACACATTACTTGGTCGAAAATATTTTAAGTACTGAGGATATTTATGTATTTTGTCCAAACAAATTAGAAAGGTATATAAGGGATTCCCCTATGTCCTCAATAATACATTTTCTTAGGCCAGGTCAAATTAATTTCATTATTTTATGCATTTTCTAAGCCAGTATGCAGGTTGCCAAACAATGTGGTGATGGTTGACTGGAGGATTTTACAGTGCTACGTAATGTCAGTCACTTAAGAATACAAATTTATTGCGGCTAAATCCTTTTAAAACCACCATATTACCTTATTTTTGATTTGTTAGTCTTTTGCATAGTTTTGGTCTGGTTTGTCAAAAGAACAAGAAGGATACATGTGATATAAGGGACCTTGCCTTATTGTTATACAGAGTTGAATATTTGTGTGTACAGTAAGCCACCCTGATTATTTGGCCTCAAAGACAGGGCCCTACTTAGGTCTGGCCAGAGTGACCAGCAATGAGGCAGACTGGCAGTGTCTGGAATGAAGTCCGATGTAGTCCGATGAGGTACATGAGGGACATGAAGTAGTTTATGTAATTCAGAGAGGAATGCTTAATTCAACATAATTATTATGTACAATAGCATGCAACAAAGACATGGTTAAGGTGAACATGGCAAGCAATGTACCTTTCTCTGCAGAAATGTTTCATCAGTTCGAAATCACAGATCAGAAAGATCGACGTTGGACAATTGCTAGTCATTGCATCAAGGAATACCTGGGTTAGCTGCAGTAACTGTATCTCTGAGCTTGCCTTCAAATATGTGTACTTACAATGGCATATCAGAACTCATTTAGTGAATATATTGTAACATGATCTAAAATGTAAGTACTTGTATTTGAAGGTAAGTGTCTCAGCAGTGAATCATGTTGCATTTGTCTCTAGATGAATGCTGAAGCATAAAAGGGGCGATGCAGATTTGGAAAGAGGATCTATAAGGAAAACACAGTTGGACAGCCTGTAGTTCTGTGTGGCGACAAACCCAAATAAAAATGGTTTATAGGAAGCAGCACAGAGATATGGTTACTGCAGCTATATCTAGGTCTATTATAATATTGTTTTATGTATTGTTGATTTGGATTTAAACACAGATTATTTTTAGGAAAGCCAAGTTTTGCTTTCTGAGGTTCAGTAGCTAACAGAGAAAACAAGGTAAGGAGTAGGCTTGTGTCTGAAGAATCTTTGAAACTGTGTGTTCACTGTTGTTGACGTGCTACATTTTTATTTGGAAATTTTATTCATCCAGCTGCTGAATCTCATCCATGAATCAAAGTAATAAAAATTTGAATCTGAATGTATTTAATAAAAACAATTTTAGTACCATAACTGTTAATGGTAAGAATGATGTAAAAGATGGCTGCAAGGCTAAGCTATGTGTTCTCATCGGAGGTGAGCTTGTCCTGACATGGCCAGAGTGTGTCCATGGAGCCAGGTCAGTGAGCTGCTGGCTTCTCCCTCACGTGCCCAGGCCATTCAGTCGGGCATCCACACAAATAACACTGGCATCCTATTTGAAAAACTGCAGCTTTTCTATAATGAATTCCTCTGTTAGCTCCTCAGGATTTCTGATTTCAAAATCCTAAAAAGTAAGACAATAAAAAGTGAAAATGAATAATTTCAGAACAATCTGTTAAATGTATTTCCTTGATGAAGGATTAACTCTAGTTACAGACTAAGCTGTGTCGACAGACAGGATGCCAATCACCTGGCTGGATGACAGGCCATGCTGTGTCGACAGACAGGATGCAAATCACCTGGCTGGGTGACAGACTATGCTGTGTCGATAGACAGGATGCCAATCATCTGGCTGGGTGACAGGCCATGCTTTGTCGACAGACAGGATGCCAATCACCTGGCTGGGTGACAGGCCATGCAATGTCGACAGACAGGATGCCAATCACCTGGCTGGGTGACAGGCCATGCTGTGTCGACAGACAGGATGCCAATCACCTGGCTGGGTGACAGGCCATGCCATGTTGACAGACAGGATGCCAATCACCTGGCTGGGTGACAGGCCATGCAATGTCGACAGACAGGATGCCAATCACCTGGCTGGATGACAGGCCATGCTGTGTCGACAGACAGGATGCCAATCACCTGGCTGGGTGACAGGCCATGCAATGTCGACAGACAGGATGCCAATCACCTGGCTGGATGACAGGCCATGCTGTGTCGACAGACAGGATGCCAATCACCTGGCTGGGTGACAGGCCATGCAATGTCGACAGACAGGATGCCAATCACCTGGCTGGGTGACAGACTATGCTGTGTCGACAGACAGGATGCCAATCAGCTGGCTGGATGACAGGCCATGCTGTGTCGACAGACAGGATGCCAATCAGCTGGCTGGATGACAGGCCATGCTGTGTCGACAGACAGGATGCCAATCACCTGGCTGGGTGACAGGCCATGCATTGTCGACAGACAGGATGCCAATCACCTGGCTGGATGACAGGCCATGCTGTGTCGACAGACAGGATGCAAATCACCTGGCTGGGTGACAGACTATGCTGTGTCGATAGACAGGATGCCAATCATCTGGCTGGGTGACTGGCATCCTGTCTGTCGACACAGCATGGCCTATCACCTGGCTGGGTGACAGGCCATGCAATGTCGACAGACAGGATGCCAATCACCTGGCTTGGTGACAGACTATGCTGTGTCGACAGTCAGGATGCCAATCAGCTGGCTGGATGACAGGCCATGCTGTGTCGACAGACAGGATGCCAATCACCTGGCTGGGTGACAGGCCATGCAATGTCAACACACAGGAAGCCAATCACCTGGCTGGGTGACAGGCCATGCTGTGTCGACAGACAGGATACCAATCACCTGGCTGGGTGACAGGCCATGCTGTGTCGACAGACAGGATGCCAATCACCTGGCTGGGTGACAGACTATGCTGTGTCGACAGACAGGATGCAAATCACCTGGCTGGGTGACAGGCCATGCAATGTCAACAGACAGGATGCCAATCACCTGGCTTGGTGACAGGCCATGCTGTATTGACAGACAGGATGCCAATTACCTGGCTGGGTGACAGGCCATGCAATGTCGACAGACAGGATGCCAATCACATGGCTGGGTGACAGGCCATGCAATGTCGACAGACAGGATGCCAATCACCTGGCTGGGTGACCGGCCATGCAATGTCGACAGGCAGGATGCCAATCACCTGGCTGGGTGACAGGCCATGCTGTGTCGACAGACAGGATGCCAATCACCTGGCTGGGTGAAAGACCATGCTGTGTCGACAGACAGGATGCCAATCACCTGGCTGGGTGACAGGCCATGCTGTGTCGACAGACAGGATGCCAATCACCTGGCTGGGTGACAGGCCATGCAATGTCAACAGACAGGATGCCAATCACCTGGCTGGGTGACAGGCCATGCAGTGTCGACAGACAGGATGCCAATCACCTGGCTAGGTGACAGGCCAAGCTGTGTTGACAGACAGGATGCCAATCACCTGGCTGGGTGAAAGACCATGCTGTGTCGACAGACAGGATGCCAATCACCTGGCTGGGTGACAGGCCATGCTGTGTCGACAGACAGGATGCCAATCACCTGGCTGGGTGAAAGACCATGCTGTTTCGACAGACAGGATGCCAATCACCTGGCTGGGTGACAGGCCATGCTGTGTCGACAGACAGGATGCCAATCACCTGGCTGGGTGACAGGCCATGCTGTTTCGACAGACAGGATGCCAATCACCTGGCTGGGTGACAGGCCATGCAATGTCGACAGACAGGATGCCAATCACCTGGCTGGGTGACAGGCCATGCTGTGTCGACAGACAGGATGCCAATCAGCTGGCTGGATGACAGGCCATGCAATGTCGACAGACAGGATGCCAATCACCTGGCTGGATGACAGGCCATGCTGTGTTGACAGACAGGATGCCAATCACTTGGCTGGGTGACAGGCCATGCTGTGTCGACAGACAGGATGCCAATCACCTGGCTGGGTGACAGGCCATGCAATGTCGACAGACAGGATGCCAATCACCTGGCTGGGTGACAGGCCATGCAATGTCGACAGACAGGATGCCAATCACCTGTCTGGGTGACAGACCATGCTGTGTCGACAGACAGGATGCCAATCACCTGGCTGGGTGACAGGCCATGCAATGTCGACAGACAGGATGCAAATCACCTGGCTGGGTGACAGGCCATTCAATGTCGACAGACAGGATGCCAATCACCTGGCTGGGTGACAGGCCATGCTGTTTCGACAGACAGGATGCCAATCACCTGGCTGGGTGACAGGCCATGCTGTGTCGACAGACAGGATGCCAATCACCTGGCTGGGTGACAGGCCATGCTGTTTCGACAGACAGGATGCCAATCACCTGGCTGGGTGACAGGCCATGCTGTGTTGACAGACAGGATGCCAATCACCTAGCTGGATGACAGGCCATGCTGTGTCGACAGACAGGATGCCAATCACCTGGCTGGGTGACGGGCCATGCTGTGTTGACAGACAGGATGCCAATCACCTGGCTGGGTGACAGGCCATGCAATGTCAACAGACAGGATGCCAATCACCTGGCTGGGTGACAGGCCATGCTGTGTCGACAGACAGGATGCCAATCACCTGGCTGGGTTACAGGCCATGCTGTGTTGACAGACAGGATGCCAATCACCTGGCTGGGTGACAGGCCATACTGTGTTGACAGACAGGATGCCAATCACCTGGCTGGGTGACAGGCCATGCAATGTCGACAGACAGGATGCCAATCACCTGGCTGGGTGACAGACCATGCTATGTTGATGGATGTGTACAATCAACTGCCATGATAATGTGTATTGTGATAACATTATGACATATTCAGGCACCAATTTGTGGCACTGTTTCTAAATATACTAGAACATGGATATAGAGAACTTCAAGAGACCGGAGAAATCAGTTTGTTAAAAATATTGTTCGTTATATACATTTTTGATAAAACAAAACACAATACACATAATAACTGCAGCATTGATTTGTATCAGTCATCACTTCATAACATTCAATTGATAACATTTCATAACATTCATTTAATATAATTAAATTCAGATTCTTAGAACAGTGAACTGACACTTTGACACAATCTCGTGAAATGTTTAATGTTTGTTGAATTGTCACCACTGATTTTGTTGATTTGACGCGATTGTGTTGATTCGCTGCTGATAGCAAATAGCCAATTGTCAGTGACACTTGACATTGAGTGAGATTTCTCAGTTCGCTATATACATTAATTCGCTGTAGAGAATTCATTATGTACATAAATTTTATATGATGATATATATAGGAGATAAATCAGGGATTTTGTAACAGTTTGTTGTATCCGTTTGGTCACTCTATCCATCTTCGTAATATCTGTGTTCTACTGTAACAAACAAAAGTGTGTCATGTTACCTTTGTAACTTTAGCTGCATCCACCAATGCCCTCTTGGTTCCTGCGTACATCATTTGATGTTCTGGCTTACACCCTGAAAGAAGACATCGTTTATTACTAACTACCTAGAAGTCAGGGGAAGTGCTTAGTCACACTGACCAGTAGCTATCAAACGGGCTAAGAGCTCAGCAGGTCCTCAGGGTTTTACTGGATGCAAACCATTGAAGCCATACTCAAATAATACAAATACAAACAAATTGGGAACATAGTTCTCTGGCACGCAAACAAGTATGGCTGTTTGGCTGAATAATTACATTCAATAAAATGTTGCTGAATGTTACACACACATGTACCCAACATTTCCATTCAGTCAATGGTCTTTTTTCTATAATTTAACATCCCCTTCTATAATAGATCTACATGTTCATGCCTTGGACCCCCAAAATGAATTACTGAGCTACATATAGACAGCAGGGGTGGTACAAGCTACCATCTAGACAGCAGGGGTGGTACAAGCTACCATCTAGACAGCAGGGATGGTACAAGCTACCATCTAGACAGCAGGGATGGTACAAGCTACCAACTAGACAGCAGGGATGGTACAAGCTACCATCTAGACAACAGGGATGGTACCAACTACCATCTAGACAGCAGGGATGGTACAAGCTACCATCTAGACAGCAGGGATGGTACCAACTACCATCTAGACAGCAGGGATGGTACAAGCTACCATCTAGACAGCAGGGATGGTACAAGCTACCATCTAGACAGCAGGGATGGTACCAACTACCATCTAGACAGCAGGGATGGTACCAACTACCATCTAGACAGCAGGGATGGTACCAACTACCATCTAGACAGCAGGGATGGTACAAGCTACCATCTAGACAGCAGGGATGGTACAAGCTACCATCTAGACAGCAGGGGTGGTACAAGCTACCAACTAGACAGCAGGGATGGTACAAGCTACCATCTAGACAACAGGGATGGTACCAACTACCATCTAGACAGCAGGGATGGTACAAGCTACCATCTAGACAGCAGGGATGGTACAAGCTACCATCTAGACAACAGGGATGGTACCAACTACCATCTAGACAGCAGGGATGGTACAAGCTACCATCTAGACAGCAGGGATGGTACAAGCTACCATCTAGACAGCAGGGATGGTACCAACTACCATCTAGACAGCAGGGATGGTACCAACTACCATCTAGACAGCAGGGATGGTACAAGCTACCATCTAGACAGCAGGGATGGTACCAACTACCATCTAGACAGCAGGGGTGGTACAAGCTACCATCTAGACAGCAGGGATGGTACAAGCTACCATCTAGACAGCAGGGATGGTACAAGCTACCATCTAGACAGCAGGGGTGGTACAAGCTACTATCTAGACAGCAGGGGTGGTACAAGCTACCATCTAGACGGCAGGGATGGTACAAGCTACCATCTAGACGGCAGGGATGGTACAAGCTACCATCTAGACAGCAGGGGTGGTACAAGCTACCATCTAGACGGCAGGGATGGTACAAGCTACCATCTAGACGGCAGGGATGGTACAAGCTACCATCTAGACAGCAGGGGTGGTACAAGCTACCATCTAGACAGCAGGGATGGTACCAACTACCATCTAGACAGCAGGGATGGTACAAGCTACCATCTAGACAGCAGGGATGGTACAAGCTACCATCTAGACAGCAGGGGTGGTACAAGCTACCAACTAGACAGCAGGGATGGTACAAGCTACCATCTAGACAACAGGGATGGTACCAACTACCATCTAGACAGCAGGGATGGTACAAGCTACCATCTAGACAGCAGGGATGGTACAAGCTACCATCTAGACAACAGGGATGGTACCAACTACCATCTAGACAGCAGGGATGGTACAAGCTACCATCTAGACAGCAGGGATGGTACAAGCTACCATCTAGACAGCAGGGGTGGTACAAGCTACCATCTAGACAGCAGGGATGGTACAAGCTACCATCTAGACAGCAGGGATGGTACAAGCTACCATCTAGACAGCAGGGGTGGTACAAGCTACCATCTAGACAGCAGGGGTGGTACAAGCTACCATCTAGACGGCAGGGATGGTACAAGCTACCATCTAGACAGCAGGGGTGGTACAAGCTACCATCTAGACAGCAGGGGTGGTACAAGCTACCATCTAGAGGGAAGGGGTGGTACAAGCTACCATCTAGACAGCAGGGGTGGTACAAGCTACCATCTAGACGGCAGGGATGGTACAAGCTACCATCTAGACGGCAGGGATGGTACAAGCTACCATCTAGACAGCAGGGGTGGTACAAGCTACCATCTAGACAGCAGGGGTGGTACAAGCTACCATCTAGACAGCAGGGGTGGTACAAGCTACCATCTAGACAGCAGGGGTGGTACAAGCTACCATCTAGACAACAGGGATGGTACCAACTACCATCTAGACAGCAGGGATGGTACCAGCTACCAGCTAGACGGCAGGGATGGTACAAGCTACCATCTAGACAGCAGGGATGGTACAAGCTACCATCTAGACAGCAGGGGTGGTACAAGCTACCATCTAGACAGCAGGGGTGGTACAAGCTACCATCTGGACAACAGGGATGGTACCAACTACCATCTAGACTGCAGGGATGGTACCAGCTACCAGCTAGACGGCAGGGATGGTACAAGCTACCATCTAGACAGCAGGGGTGGTACAAGCTACCATCTAGACAACAGGGATGGTACCAACTACCATCTAGACAGCAGGGATGGTACAAGCTACCATCTAGACAGCAGGGATGGTACCAGCTACCAGCTAGATGGCAGGGATGGTACCAGCTACCATCTAGACAGCAGGGATGGTACCAACTACCATCTAGACAGCAGGTATGGTACCAACTACCATCTAGACAGCAGGGATGGTACCAACTACCATCTAGACAGCAGGTATGGTACCAACTACCATCTAGACAGCAGGGATGGTACCAACTACCATCTAGACAGCAGGGATGGTACAAGCTACCAGCTAGACAGCAGGGATGGTACCAGCTACCAGCTAGACGGCAGGGATGGTACCAGCTACCATCTAGACAGCACGGGTGGTACCAACTACCATCTAGAAGGCAGGGATGGTACCAGCTACCATCTAGACAGCAGGGATGGGTACAGCTATGGGCTACTGTTTGAGTAAATGGTCTAGTTAACACACAGTGGTGACAAGTTTCGTTTTACCTTGGGGAGTACAGAAAATGAATATGAGTGGGAAGGACACTCTTCCATCCTGGTGATTGTGCACATAGCTGAGTACGACATATCGGGGCTGAGAAGCAGGAAGGTCATTGGCAACCTCCTCTATTGAACAGTCCTGAAGATAAATAAAGATATGTTAGCACCAGACAGGAATAGCAGTGCTAGATACATACATGGCAGACAAAATCATACACGTTAAATAACCAACAATATATATATATATATTCAGTCTCTGAAGGATCAGATTGCAAAGTTCTCAAACTGCTCTTAATTTGTTATAAATCAGATATAGTCAGTATCTGTTTGAAGAGTTATTTTTATTTTGGGTTAAACTGGACAAGAAGCCTCATAACATGACAAAACAGGTTGTTACCATTGCAAATTATTACAAAAATCAGTATTGTGCATGTTGGTTGGGCAAGTTGTCATGACTAATGTGCAAGTTTTAGATGCTTCAGAAGAAATGTCTTTGTCAACTTTTGACAACAATGGCTGTATGTGAGTCCTATTCAGAAAAAAAAGATACTTCTGCTATTGTTCCACAAACTAAGTGCCATTCTGAGAACAAGAGAGCATTCCATTTGGGGTCCAGATGATTCAACTTTTACTATTTTGTCTAGTTGAGCCAGGTATGTGGATAAGTACCTTCCTCACAACAGACAATTCACAGAACAATCAGTTACAAGGAATTATAGCCTATCTTTCCAGAGTGAACAGAAACAGAAATGAACAGCTATTCACAAGTAGAGAAAGACTAGAAAAAAGTTTCTAAGAAGTCAATCAATTATCCACGGCCATTTGAGGCCCAAAATGCAAAGCACCTGTGCTGAGACATGTGAGTGTTCCATGCTGTGAAATGTTTAGCCGTCGTGTAAACAATGCATGAGTGTCTTCTTTAATGTGGGAGGGAAGTATGATCTCAACAAGTCAATGTAGTAAACAGTAATGTATTTTTATAATATCACAGTGATAAAAATGAAACTTAGTGTGGATTATTATGACCATAAGATATTTTAGGCACTATCATTATCACATAACCATTGTTGACAATGTTAAAAATACATGATATATCAGATGAAAACTCATATTTTCTTTAGGAATATAGTTTCTTTCTTTTTTATGATCACTTATTGGTTGAAATCAAATAGTGACTTAACTGAGAAACTGTTTGATCCATAAAATCTAACTTGCGATAGACTACAGTACTAAAAGGAAGATGTATTTTTATTTTCTATACCTATCTTAAAAGAAAAAACAAAGAAATAAAAAGCAGTCAAAATGTCGTATTCCTGGTGCAATAATGTTGTTGTAGGTTTAATTTCTTTTGACCATTGCACTTAAATTCACTGAGGTAATGACATAAGATATGGGTGAGTAACTCACTGGTAGGGCAGATGAACACTACTCAACCTGATCTATTCTAAAATACAAAACCAGACACACAATAGTCAGTACCATATTATATTACATGTGAACAGATAACGACCTAGTGTTTGTACACTGGACAGAAGTACACCAACACAATACCTCATATTCCTCATCTAGTATCACCAATTGTTTAGCAAAGTCTACTTTCACTGAAAGAGAAAACAAAAAGATTACAACATTTGAATATAGTGATAAATAAATAGGACTCAATCATTTAAATCCTTAAAATAACTGACATTGCAAAATCATGCATATTGGTTTACATGCTCCATTATATCATATCTCCATTCTATTTTGCAAAGTACCCCGAACCCATTCACCACCAAAGCCTTGTTTTGCAAGTCACATCAACACTTACATCGCTCCTGTCTATGAATAAGCACACAATTTCCCCTCGTTCAGGACAGTGATTTGATTTGACAGTTATTTTCAGGGTTTTGCCACAGGAATAGGGCTCAGCACATGGAGGGAAGTGGGTTCAGGGTATTATCAAGTGCTGGTTATTGTTCTGAATATTCATATCAATAATTGTGACTCTCAGATTGATCAATAATTGATTGTAATCACAGATTTTCTCCATACAAAATGAATAAGTCTATTGGTAAACAAACATGCAACAAACGCTTCCAGCAAGCAAATCTGATCCATGCACAGTTGATCAATGGTTCACGACTTGAAATTTGCATATTCATCACTGAATTGTATGTCAAGCATCTTAGCCCTCACTTTAGACGGTCAATCAACAGTGTATGATGTTATTAGCCATTCCTTGAATATACCCTGAGTGTTTGTGTGTCTCAGTATGTGTACAGTTCCAACTTCATATTTTCATGCACTTAGAAAAGAAATACTGTGATACATGGTTAGCTGATTTAACCACACTGTTCCATATGTTATTTTCATGAAACATATGATACATAAAAATGATAGTTATCTGTAGTTGTTTTAAAGTTCTAACATGGAGCAATAATAGAAACTTTCAGTAGGAAACACTAACAAATTTAACAGTCCTTTAGCTAAAGTAAGCAGAACTTTCTATACTTAGTCTCTTACAGACTGTGGACAACCGGTCATGTCATGAGTCTTACAGACAGTGGACAACCGGTCATGTCATGAGTCTTACAGAAAGTGGACAACTGGTCATGTCATGAGCCTTACAGACAGTGGACAACTGGTCATGTCATGAGTCTTACAGAAAGTGGACAACTGGTCATGTCATGAGCCTTACAGACAGTGGACAACTGGTCATGTCATGAGCCTTACAGACATTTGACAACCAGTCATGTCATGAGTCTAACAGACAGTGGACAACCGGTCATGTCATGAGTCTTGAAGACAGTGGACAACCACTCATGTCATGAGTCTAACAGACAGTGGACAACTGGTCATGTCATGAGTCTTACAGACAGTGGACAGCCAGTCATGTCATGAGTCTTACAGACAGTGGACAACTGGTCATGTCATGAGTCTTACAGACAGTGGACAACTGGCCATGTCATGAGTCTTACAGACAGTGGACAGCCAGTCATGTCATAAGTCTTACAGACAGTGGACAACTGGTCATGTCATGAGTCTTACAGACAGTGGACAACTGGCCATGTCATGAGTCTTACAGACAGTGGACAACCGGTCATGTCATGAGTCTTACAGACAGTGGACAACCAGTCATGTCATGAGTCTTACAGACAGTGGACAACCGGTCATGTCATGAGTCTTACAGACAGTGGACATAAGTCATGTCATGAGTCTAACAGACAGTGGACAACTGGTCATGTCATGAGTCTTACAGAAAGTGGACAACCGGTCATGTCATGAGTCTTACAGACAGTGGACAACCGATCATGTCATGAGTGTTACAGACAGTGGACAACTGGTCATGTCATGAACCTTACAGACAGTGGACAGACAGGATATGTCATGAGTCTTACAAACAGTGGACAACCTGTTATGTCATGAGTCTTACAGACAGTGTACCGACAGAATATGTCATGAGCCTTACAGACAGTGGACAACTGGTCATGTCATGAGTCTTACAGACAGTGGACAACTGATCATGTCATGAGTCTTACAGACAGTGGACAACTGGTCACATAATGAGTCTTACAGAAAGTGGACAACCGGTCATGTCATGAGTCTTACAGACAGTAGACAACTGGTCAGGTCATGAGTCTTACAGACAGTGGACAACCGGTCATGTCATGAGTCTAACAGACAGTGGACAACCGGTCATGTCATGAGTCTTACAGACAGGGGACAACTGGTCACATAATGAGTCTTATGGACAGTGGACAACCGATCATGTCATGAGTCTTACAGACAGTGGACAACCGGTCATGTCATGAGTCTAACAGACAGTGGACAACTGGTCACATAATGAGTCTTATGGACAGTGGACAACGGGTCATGTCATGAGTCTTACAGACAGTGGACAACCGGTCACATAATGAGTCTTATGGACAGTGGACAACTGGTCATGTCATGAGCCTTAGAGACAGTGGACAACTGGTCATGTCATGAGTCTTACAGACAGTGGACAACTGGTCATGTCATGAGACTTACAGACAGTGGACCGACAGGATATGTTATGAGTGTTACAGACAGTGGACAACCGGTCATGTCATGAGTCTTACAGACAGTGGACCAACAGGATATGTCATGAGCCTTACAGACAGTGGACAACTGGTCATGTCATGAACCTTACAGACAGTGGCCAACCATTCATGTCATGAGTCTTACAGAAAATTGACAGACAGGATAGGTCATGAGTCTTACAGACAGTGGACAACCGATCATGTCATGAGGTTTACAGACAGTGTACCGACAGAATATGTCATGAGCCTTACAGACAGTGGACAAATGGTCATGTCATGAGTCTTACAGACAGTGAACAACCGGTCATGTCATGAGTCTAACAGACAGTGGACAACCGGTCATGTCATGAGTCTTACAGACAGTGGACAACTGGTCATGTCATGAGTCTAACAGACAGTGGACAACCGGTCATGTCATGAGTCTTACAGAAAATGGACAGACAGGATATGTCATGAGTCTTACAGACAGTGGACAACCAGTCATGTCATGAGTCTTACAGACAGTGGACAACTGGTCACATAATGAGTCTTACAGACAGTGGACAACTGGTCATGTCATGAGTCTTACAGACAGTGGACAACCGGTCACATAATGAGTCTAACAGACAGTGGACAACTGATCATGTCATTTGCCTTACAGACAGTGGACAACCGGTCATGTCATGAGTCTTACAGACAGTGGACAACCAGTCATGTCATGAGTCTTACAGACAGTGGACAACTGGTCACATAATGAGTCTTACAGACAGTGGACAACCGGTCATGTCATGAGTGTTACAGACAGTGGACAACCGGTCATGTCATGAGTCTTACAGACAGTGGACAACCGGTCACATAATGAGTCTAACAGACAGTGGACAACTGGTCATGTCATGAACCTTACAGACAGTGGACTGACAGGATATGTCATGAGTCTTACAGACAGTGGACAACCGTTCATGTCATGAGTCTTACAGAAAATTGACAGACAGGATATGTCATGAGTCTTACAGACAGTGGACAACCGGTCATGTCATGAGTCTTACAGACAGTGGACAACCGGTCATGTCATGAGTGTTACAGACAGTGGACAACCAGTCATGTCATGAGTCTTACAGACAGTGGACAACTGGTCACATAATGAGTCTTACAGACAGTGGACAACGGGTCATGTCATGAGTCTTACAGACAGTGGACAACTGGTCATGTCATGAGTCTTACAGACAGTGGACAACCGGTCATGTCATGAGTGTTACAGACAGTGGACAACCAGTCATGTCATGAGTCTTACAGACAGTGGACAACTGGTCACATAATGAGTCTTACAGACAGTGGACAACCGGTCATGTCATGAGTGTTACAGACAGTGGACAACCAGTCATGTCATGAGTCTTACAGACAGTGGACAACTGGTCACATAATGAGTCTTACAGACATTGGACAACCGGTCATGTCATGAGTCTTACAGACAGTGGACAACCAGTCATGTCATGAGGTTTACAGACAGTGTACCGACAGAATATGTCATGAGCCTTACAGACAGTGGACAACCGGTCATGTCATGAGTCTAACAGACAGTGGACAACTGGTCATGTCATGAGCCTTACAGACAGTGGACAACTGGTCATGTCATGAGTCTTACAGACAGTGGACAACCGGTCACATAATGAGTCTAACAGACAGTGGACAACTGATCATGTCATTTGCCTTACAGACAGTGGACAACCGGTCATGTCATGAGTCTTACAGACAGTGGAGAAGTGGTCATGTCATGAGTCTTACAGACAGTGGACAACCGGTCATGTCATGAGTGTTACAGACAGTGGACAACCAGTCATGTCATGAGTCTTACAGACAGTGGACAACCGGTCATGTCATGAGTCTTACAGACAGTGGACAACCGGTCACATAATGAGTCTAACAGACAGTGGACAACTGGTCATGTCATGAACCTTACAGACAGTGGACTGACAGGATATGTCATGAGTCTTACAGACAGTGGACAACCGTTCATGTCATTAGTCTTACAGAAAATGGACAGACAGGATATGTCATGAGTCTTACAGACAGTGGACAACCAGTCATGTCATGAGGTTTACAGACAGTGTACCGACAAAATATGTCATGAGCCTTACAGACAGTGGACAACTGGTCATGTCATGAGTCTTACAGGTGAGGTGAAATGGGGTTTAACGTCGCGTCCAAGATTATTGCACTTATATAGCAACGTGCATGTACGTGTGTGTGTTTGTGTGGCTGCTTGTACTAGTCTCGACTGATGCCGATTTATAGTGCTAGCTCACTGAGATACCATGCCGCAGTTTAACATGAATACCCCACTCAGACACAGTATACTGACTCCGAGCCGACCAGTCCTTGTTTTAGCCCCTTAATGCCGAGCGCCAGACAGGGTAACAACAAGTACCATCTTTTAACGTCTTTTGGTATGACGCGGCCGGGGATCGAACCCCGGACCTTCCGCTCTCCGGGCGGACGCTCTACCACAAGACCACGGAGGCGGTCTGAGTCTTACAGACAGTGGACAACCGATCATGTCATAAGTCCTACAGACAGTGGACAACCGGTCATGTCATGAGTCTTACAGACAGTGGACCAACAGGATATGTCATGAATCTTACAGACAGTAGACAACCGGTCATGTCATGAGTCTTACAGACAGTGGACAACCAGTCATGTCATGAGGTTTACAGACAGTGTACCGACAAAATATGTCATGAGCCTTACAGACAGTGGACAACTGGTCATGTCATGAGTCTTACAGGTGAGGTGAAATGGGGTTTAACGTCGCGTCCAAGATTATTGCACTTATATAGCAACGTGCATGTACGTGTGTGTGTTTGTGTGGCTGCTTGTACTAGTCTCGACTGATGCCGATTTATAGTGCTAGCTCACTGAGATACCATGCCGCAGTTTAACATGAATACCCCACTCAGACACAGTATACTGACTCCGAGCCGACCAGTCCTTGTTTTAGCCCCTTAATGCCGAGCGCCAGACAGGGTAACAACAAGTACCATCTTTTAACGTCTTTTGGTATGACGCGGCCGGGGATCGAACCCCGGACCTTCCGCTCTCCGGGCGGACGCTCTACCACAAGACCACGGAGGCGGTCTGAGTCTTACAGACAGTGGACAACCGATCATGTCATAAGTCCTACAGACAGTGGACAACCGGTCATGTCATGAGTCTTACAGACAGTGGACCAACAGGATATGTCATGAATCTTACAGACAGTAGACAACCGGTCATGTCATGATTCTTACAGACAGTGCACAACCGTTCATGTCATGAGTCTTACAGAAAATGGACAGACAGGATATGTCATGAGTCTTACAAACAGTGGACAACCTGTTATGTCATGAGTCTTACAGACAGTGTACCGACAGAATATGTCATGAGCCTTACAGACAGTGGACAACCGGTCATGTCATGAGTCTTACAGACAGTGTACCGACAGAATATGTCATGAGCCTTACAGACAGTGGACAACCGGTCATGTCATGAGTCTTACAGACAGTGTACCGACAGAATATGTCATGAGCCTTACAGACAGTGGACAACCGGTCATGTCATGAGTCTTACAGACAGTGTACCGACAGAATATGTCATGAGCCTTACAGACAGTGGACAACTGATCATGTCATGAGTCTTACAGACAGTGGGCAACCGGTCACATAATGAGTCTTATGGACAGTGGACAACTGGTCATGTCATGAGCCTTAGAGACAGTGGACAACTGGTCATGTCATGAGTCTTACAGACAGTGGACAACTGGTCATGTCATGAGACTTACAGACAGTGGACCGACAGGATATGTTATGAGTCTTACAGACAGTGGACAACCGGTCATGTCATGAGTCTTACAGACAGTGGACTGACAGGATATGTCATGAGGTTTACAGACAGTGTACCGACAGAATATGTCATGAGCCTTACAGACAGTGGACAAATGGTCATGTCATGAGTCTAACAGACAGTGGACAACCGGTCATGTCATGAGTCTAACAGACAGTGGACAACCGGTCATGTCATGAGTCTTACAGACAGTGGACAACTGGTCATGTCATGAGTCTGACAGACAGTGGACAACTGGTCACATAATGAGTCTTACAGAAAGTGGACAACCGGTCATGTCATGAGTCTTACAGACAGTGGACAACCGGTCACATAATGAGTCTAACAGACAGTGGACAACCGGTCATGTCATGAGTGTTACAGACAGTGGACAACCGGTCACATAATGAGTCTAACAGACAGTGGACAACTGGTCATGTCATGAACCTTACAGACAGTGGACAGACAGGATATGTCATGAGTCTTACAGACAGTGGACAACCAGTCATGTCATGAGTCTTACAGAAAATGGACAGACAGGATATGTCATGAGTCTTACAGACAGTGGACAACCGGTCATGTCATGAGTCTTACAGACAGTGGACAACCAGTCATGTCATGAGTCTAACAGACAGTGGACAACTGATCATGTCATGAGCCTTACAGACAGTGGACAACTGGTCATGTCATGAGTCTTACAGACAGTGGACAACTGGTCATGTCATGAGTCTTACAGACAGTGGACAACCCGTCATGTCATGAGTCTTACAGACAGTGGACAACCAGTCATGTCATGAGTCTTACAGACAGTGGACAACTGGTCACATAATGAGTCTTACAGACAGTGGACAACCGGTCATGTCATGAGTGTTACAGACAGTGGACAACCAGTCATGTCATGAGTCTTACAGACAGTGGACAACTGGTCACATAATGAGTCTTACAGACATTTGACAACCGGTCATGTCATGAGTCTTACAGACAGTGGACAACCAGTCATGTCATGAGGTTTACAGACAGTGTACCGACAGAATATGTCATGAGCCTTACAGACAGTGGACAACCGGTCATGTCATGAGTCTAACAGACAGTGGACAACTGGTCATGTCATGTGCCTTACAGACAGTGGACAACTGGTCATGTCATGAGTCTTACAGACAGTGGACAACCGGTCACATAATGAGTCTAACAGACAGTGGACAACTGATCATGTCATTTGCCTTACAGACAGTGGACAACCGGTCATGTCATGAGTCTTACAGACAGTGGAGAAGTGGTCATGTCATGAGTCTTACAGACAGTGGACAACCGGTCATGTCATGAGTGTTACAGACAGTGGACAACCAGTCATGTCATGAGTCTTACAGACAGTGGACAACCGGTCATGTCATGAGTCTTACAGACAGTGGACAACCGGTCACATAATGAGTCTAACAGACAGTGGACAACTGGTCATGTCATGAACCTTACAGACAGTGGACTGACAGGATATGTCATGAGTCTTACAGACAGTGGACAACCGGTCATGTCATTAGTCTTACAGAAAATGGACAGACAGGATATGTCATGAGTCTTACAGACAGTGGACAAACAGTCATGTCATGAGGTTTACAGACAGTGTACCGACAAAATATGTCATGAGCCTTACAGACAGTGGACAACTGGTCATGTCATGAGTCTTACAGGTGAGGTGAAATGGGGTTTAACGTCGCGTCCAAGATTATTGCACTTATATAGCGACGTGCATGTACGTGTGTGTGTTTGTGTGGCTGCTTGTACTAGTCTCGACTGATGCCGATTTATAGTGCTAGCTCACTGAGATACCATGCCGCAGTTTAACATGAATACCCCACTCAGACACAGTATACTGACTCCGAGCCGACCAGTCCTTGTTTTAGCCCCTTAATGCCGAGCGCCAGACAGGGTAACAACAAGTACCATCTTTTAACGTCTTTTGGTATGACGCGGCCGGGGATCGAACCCCGGACCTTCCGCTCTCCGGGCGGATGCTCTACCACAAGACCACGGAGGCGGTCTGAGTCTTACAGACAGTGGACAACCGATCATGTCATAAGTCCTACAGACAGTGGACAACCGGTCATGTCATGAGTCTTACAGACAGTGGACCAACAGGATATGTCATGAATCTTACAGACAGTAGACAACCGGTCATGTCATGATTCTTACAGACAGTGGACAACCGTTCATGTCATGAGTCTTACAGAAAATGGACAGACAGGATATGTCATGAGTCTTACAAACAGTGGACAACCTGTTATGTCATGAGTCTTACAGACAGTGTACCGACAGAATATGTCATGAGCCTTACAGACAGTGGACAACCGGTCATGTCATGAGTCTTACAGACAGTGGACAACTGATCATGTCATGTGTCTTACAGACAGTGGGCAACCGGTCACATAATGAGTCTTATGGACAGTGGACAACTGGTCATGTCATGAGCCTTAGAGACAGTGGACCAACAGGATATGTCATGAGCCTTACAGACAGTTGACAACCGGTCATGTCATGAATCTTACAGACAGTAGACAACCGGTCATGTCATGAGTCTTACAGACAGTGGACAACCGGTCACATAATGAGTCTTTCAGACAGTGGACAACTGGTCATGTCATGAGCCTTACAAACAGTGGACAACTGGGCCCACTTGCACAAAGCGAATCTTAGCCCTACGACTATTGTAAACCTATGTTAAAGTATGGGAGTTACGATCATCTTAGCGCTAAGATCACTTTGTGCAAGTGGGCTCTGGTCATGTCATGAGCCTTACAGACACTGGACAGACAGGATATGTCATGAGCCTTACAGACAGTGGACAACTGGTCACATAATGAGTCTTATGGACAGTGGACAACTGGTCATGTCATGAGCCTTACAGACAGTGGACAAACGGTCATGTCATGAGCCTTAGAGACAGTAGACAACTGGTCACATAATGAGCCTTACAGACAGGGGACAACCGGTCATGTGATGAGCCTTAGAGACAGTAGATAACTGGTCATGTCATGAGTCTTACAGACAGTGGACAACCTGTCATGTCATGAGTTTTACAGACAGTGGACAACCTGTCATGTCATGAGTCTTACAGACAGTGGACAACCGGTCACCAAATGAGTCTTATGGACAGTTGACAACTGGTCATGTCATGAGCCTTACAAACAGTGGACAACTGGGCCCACTTGCACAAAGCAACTTAGCCCTATGACTATTGTAAGCCTATGTTAAAGTATGGGAGTTACGAACATCTTAGCGCTTAGATCGCTTTGTGCAAGTGGGCTCTGGTCATGACATGAGCCTTACAGACACTGGACAGACAGGATATGTCATGAGCCTTACAGACAGTGGACAACTGGTCATGTCATGAGTCTTACAGACAGTGGACAACCGGTCATGTCATGCTTACAGACAGTTGACAACCAGTCATGTCATGAGTCTTACAGACAGTGGACAGGCAGGATATGTCATGAACCTTACAGAGAGCGGACAACTGGTCATGTCATAAGCCTTACAGACAGTGGACAGCCGGTCTTGTCATGAGTCTTACAGACAGTGGACAACCAGTCAAGTCATGAGTCTTACAGACAGTGGACAACCAGTCATGTCATGAGCTTTACAGACAGTTCATCCCACCAGCTCATCTTATACTCTTTATGGCTGGAGAGTTAACAAGCACTGGTTTACAATTTGTACTTACATACAATTGCAGCTACATTTTTCTCTTTCCTAAATTTGAACTTCTTCAAGAGAGTTGTTACATCTGGATCTATATCACATACTTGTACATGTGTCTGAAACATGATTAATTTAAACCAACAATCAGTCATACATTCTTGATGAGGTCCTTTTACAGTCATGTTATATTTTTCACAGGAGATTCATTCATTAATATTTGCTAAAGACCTTTTTCATTAACAACTACAAGCATTATCTTGCTTGTCACGCTGAAGGCTGGGTCCCCACTTGGATATATCTTGTGAACCCATTCTTAGCCTATTTGCTGATAATGGTTCATGCTTCATATGGTGGAAAGTGTATTTTGTGTTCCCTTTACCAACATTAGATGATGGACCAAATGCATGGTATGTTCTTTCCATTTGGCGTCAATTTGGTAGCTTAAATTGGTGATTAAGGCACAGGCTTGACACGCCAAAGTCCCAGGTTCCATTCCCCACATGAATACATATGTGAAAGACATACCAGAGATAATAAAACATGCAATTCATATAACTGAAGAGGTGCTACATGCTCTTGAGACTGGTGATAACTGGTACAGTTAGTCGAGGCGAATGTCCTATTACCAGTCTTTTATTCCCTCTTGTAACAGAAACCTTTTTCAGTTTAACAAAAATCAAAGTTAGTGGTACAGTCAATGCACGGAATATTTCAGAAATAACATATTACAATGGACTTAAATACACACCAAGACTGACAGACTCGCGAAATGAATAATGGCCTGCCTTGAATATACTGGGTTAAAAATCAACAAACAAGAAACATTTATCTCTAAACATTTTGTTCAAATTCAGCACACTGATCTACTTTTGGTCATGGTGTATGAAGAGGGACTTCTCTTTAGTGCCATAATGCAAGTGTACCAAAATAACTTATGAGTATTATAGTATAAAGCATATCGTATACTATATACCATGTAGCCCAATCATTGAATCAATGGAGTTAGGCTGCTCTCAGATGCTGCCAACTATTGCTGCCAGGCATAGCTAAGTGTCTCAGCATTAGGTATCTAGACATTAACCTGATGATATCCTAAACAAACTGAAGAAGATCAATTGTAGAAATAATCAGTGACGTGCAAATGCATTTCTACACACAACTTGTGACACTTACCATTGTGTTGTTTTGACCACACCCCCAAACTTAAACTTCGGAATACGGAAGTATGATTTGAACTTCCGCGATTCCATGCGCAGGCGCTACCAATACAAACTTCCGCCACGTGTTGTGTTGGTACACACAGCTGTGGGTTTGAGAAGGTCTCTTGCGTATTTTATGATGAAGTCAGTCCAAATCAAATCGAGATCAGTAAGACCAGTAAATATATATAAAAAAATAAAAAAATCTTTAATGAATTATACTATAACCACGTAGATAGATATACAGATGAAGATCAGAGGCGTGGAATAGTGACGGGATTGTCTAAAGCCGGACCGTGCCTGGCCAACGTTCTTTGGGCTAATTATGCCATAAACGACGACCATACACACCTGTTATTGATGACAAACACCTCGCAAGTGCAAATTAATATGATAAATAAGTTATTGCAAGTTAATAGCTGGAAAATCAGGAAGTTGAACAGTCTTTGAGCTTGGCCGAGCAAGTTTACATATAAAAGAGGAATCGTGAAACGAATCCGCATTTGCAACGTAATACATGAGATTATCGTGATGCACATTTCCATCTGTCTTTCTCATGAGTTGGCCATTTGATTTCTAAGGGAGTGTATTGGGGCTGGGGGTGGATGGAGGGGATAAAAAACAACAACAATGATATTTGATGGGCATGGTAGCATGCCAGTAACTTTATATCATGCAAGTCAGTGTGTCGTTTCTTCGTCAGTTTCCATTAAAAGTTGTGCTAATTCTGTCTATCGTGCACAATCTTTGTAATTGAAAAGAACATTCCTCGAGCAGTTGTGAGTACAAACATGTCAAAATGACCCGTCTTCTGTCAATCTGAAGAAAATTGAAAAAAGGTATTTTATCATATAAAAATGTTATAAAGTCACCTTCATATGTACTGTTTTAGTGAATAGTGAGAAAATAACATTCTTTATGTATGTTGAATTTGAATTGTGACGTAAAAAAATCCTCAGCTCTCTTTTATGAAGAAAAACATCGCAGCCTCTAAAAAAGAACACTTCATGACCTTGCCTCACACCCAACAACCCCACGATATTATTCCCTGAGACTATTAAACTACAACGAATGAAATAAATGAATTGAACGTCGATTTTGACGGATTCATTGACGTGTGAACGATTTAAAGGCGCTGCTTAAACTTTCGTGTGAACCTTACATCAACGCTTTTAGATCGTTCACACTTCAATGAAGCCATCCAAAATGACGTTCAGTTCTTACGTATTAAAAACACATGCACCGACATTGCTGATAGTTGATGGTTCATTGTGTGGTGAATAGAAAATTATTTTTTTAGAAAGGCCACGTAGACCAAGAGTAATGGAGAAGTGGAGACCATTGATGTTTGGTTTCACAGTTCAAGCATCGTCCCACCATTGAGTACAATGAGCGTTTCCTTGACACTGGTTGTTTTTTTTGCACACTCCCTGCTGAACAATACCCCAGAAACTGTCACTACATCGTCCCACCATTAGGTTACTTGAGTCGCGCATATTTTGGTTGCATCAGTGTGATAAGTTGCAAATTGATTACCATGAATGTAAATGGAGAAACGTTTTAGCTTAAATACAAGTTTTGTGTCTCATCCTTCTTTTAGCATCTGTATATGGACGTCAACAAGTGTGAACGTAATACCAAATACACCTGAGATCAGAAGGTCTAATTGACCTTAGCCTAGATACAGACAGACCAGTGGCAATGCTAGGTTTTGACAATGCTTGAGATTTATTTGTAAATTTCTTTCTCCGTGTAATTTATGACATTATACGCCAATTCTCAAGCTTGGGAATGTATGCTTACCAAGCTTTGACATGTTTATTTGTTTATAATTAACTTCTTTCAAACGACTTTTAGAGAATTCTAGTATGGACTTGTCACATCTGACTCGTGTCGACGAGAGAGTAGTCAATTTAATCGTCATGACCAGCACGTGCACAACATGCGTACACCTATCTGTAACAAACCAAGTATCGGTATGTTTGCTCACATTCTGTGCACCCCCAACTTGCCTCAAATGCGTTTTGTGGGTTGGTTCAACTTATCCTTTAATACCAGTTAGCTGCATCTACTGGCTCAGAAATATACCAGCTATATGACGGCGGTCTGTAAATAGTGAGTCTGGACAAGACAATCCAGTGAGTGATAGCATGACCATAGATCGAATAGGGATACGATGACACGCATTCCTTTCTCACTCTATGGATTGTTATCCTTCTTCTTCCGATCCACATCTTCCCGAGCAAGGGATACTGACTTTAAAAGTCACGTTTCCACCCTTGCCGAACTAGACTGGAATTGTTCGGCTCGATCGTATCGCCGCCTGTGGCTATTACGAGTTATGTCCCTTCCATGCATCTCCTATGGACCAATCAGATTCAAGCTCTTGTATCACTTACATTTGCTTCAAACAAAATGGCGGCGCCCTGTCAATATGATCTGATCGATAATCAAGATCGATATTGTGAAAGAACGAGTCTTACATCGCGAAGTGCATCAAGTCACGTTAGAACCTTAATTAAAAACATGAAAAGATTAAGAAAATACCTGATGATCACGAGTTGGCGGCGCACATGCGTTGCAAATCCTGCAATCGACCGAAATCTGCATGACTGTTTACGAACCGGATTTGGATTTCGTTGCGCGATGTTGATTGGGCTATGCATAGACTCGTTAGTTCAGCCTAAATGTAACTCCATAATACCAGCCTAGTTCGGCAAGGGTGGAAACTGGACTTTTATAGTCAGTTAAAACCCTTGCTTCGGGAAGATGTCCGATCCCTTGTGTGGAAACGTCTTTGAACAAAGTTTCCAGCTTCTAAGCTTCATTTGCCCAAACACCCCAGCATCACCATGGCAATCGTCCTAGCAATCAGGTCATGCACCCGAATCTCGTGCAGAATGCTGATCTCGATCTTGCCACGTGACCTCTGTCATCATTCTCTTCGCCTCCCTGTGGAGACATGTTGTTGTTTTTAGAGAATATTTAGACCTTTATTTTTCTCAAAATTACGGGAGTTTGGGGCAGTAGTATAGGTAATGGGGGTTCTGGACCACTTCCACTGGAGCCAGATTTATTACCTATACTGCTACTACAGGGGGGATTTTTTATGCCAAAATGATGATGCGATTTAACGATAGTCATAAGTTGTATTAAACGAAACATCAATATTAATTAATAATGGATAAAATTTACTATAGCCCACGAGGATATTGGAAAGGTATAGGAGCAATAAAAAAATTAGCCACCGCAGCTAAGGTATCTAAAGATGTGGCTAAGGATTGGTTAAAGAAACAAGCGATGTGGCAGATATATTTACCGGCACCGCGTTATATACCGAGGAAGAAGTTTGATATTTTTACAACGAATGAAGTTCATCAGGCTGACCTCTTGTTTCTTCCCCACGATAAGGTAAAACGCAAAACGTATAAATACGCTTTAACCATTGTGGATGTGGCTAGTCGATACAAAGAGGCTGAGCCATTAACCTCGAAAGAATCAACAGAGGTAGCTAATGCACTGAGTCGCATATATAAACGCGGACCACTAAAATGGCCTAAGCTATTTCAAGTAGATCCCGGTTGCGAGTTTATGGGATCGGTAACTAAACTGTGAACAAAGCACGATGTCGAAATCGTCCGTGGTGAAAGAGAGGCCCACCGCAGTCAAGCTATCGTCGAAAGATTTAACAGGACATTAGCGGAACGTTTGTTTGGCTATCAGTATGGGATCGAAATGAAATCCGAGCGATTGAGATCAACCGAATGGGTGACACGATTATCAGCCGTTGTATCAGCGCTGAATAATAAAGTAACAAGATTAATAGGGAAGAAACCATCCGATGCTATTAAAATGAAATCAGTGACTTCCGAATCTTCAGCACCGAGGAGAGGCAAAGAACGAAAACTTCCGGATAGAGTAAGGGTAAGATATTTATACCAGGCCGGTGAACTCGAAGGAGGCCTACGTCGCGCAACCGATCCTATATGGTCCCTTAAGACGTATAACATTAGTCGATTGGTTACGAAAGAAGGAGAGCCTATTCTTTATTATCTTCAAGATGGACCGGGTAGGGCATTTGTACGAGAAGAGTTGTTCATAGTTCCCGACGGTACGGTATTACCACCATAACCATAAGCATAGGTAGTTACACCATCATTATCAATCCATCTCTTTGTATCTAAGGGGGATAATGATGTCTTGTTCATTCTTAATCCATATATCCTATGATTGTAACTTCTTAAAGAGTTCATCTCGTGTTTGAACGTTCTACCGTTAAATAATGATTCTTTATACTGTTCGTGTTTGATATGCTTTTTTACCACATACTTCTTAACACCCTTGGCTTTTCTTATCTCTCCATTATCGGACTTCTTTATAGAATACATCTTAGGTCTTAATCCCACATACTCCGCTATAGGGGTCCCAGCACATTCATCCTTCATCTTACCTAACACCTTTTTATTTACAACGCTGTGCAGTGGATTATCTTTTGGGTAATCGCTCGTGTCGTACATATCTATTTTTTCTGCCATATCTTTATACACATCCTCGGTTTGTATTTCCATCAACAAAGAATCTGTGTTGGTATATAACACCTCGCATCTATCGCCGTATTGCTTCTTAAGTTCGTTGTAATAAAAGTCATACATTAAGTGTTTTGACAAGTCGAGAATACTCATACTGACGTACACCGGTCTGTTGAATTTTATATTACTCTTCTGCATATGCAACGCGGCTAAGTCGTTATCGAATATCTTGCTTCTGTTAAAAGCCGGACTGGCTATAAGTTTCCTGAGTCTTTCTTCCTCATTAGATCTGACTAATTTAACATCAACACGCTTCCTTAGATTCTCCATAGTTTTACCAAATACTGAGTTATTCATGAGCTTATACAGATTCTTTTCGAAATCGCTGGTAGCTATCTTTCTTAAATCTGTGTTCAACCTTATATAGGGCTCCATCCAAGGGCTTTGATCAAACTTTAGAACTCTGTGTATTTTCTTAAGTTTCATACCTAACGATAGATACAACTGGAGATTTCTGTAGTGAACTATATATTTTGTC